TTAAATAGTATTATCAAATAATTTAATAAATATTCAAATACCATCTTCAACAGGTGAAGTATGTTGTTCGTCAGGTGTTGCCTTTTGATGTTGTTCATCCGGACCGCTATCTTTATCCTTTTTCTGTGTTATTTTCTCTTCAGATATTGGAGGCTGTACATTTTTTACATTTTCTTTTTTCTAAAACTTTTATCTTTATTTTATCTAATTTATCTTCTTTTCGTTTATTTAATTAAATGATTATTAATAAAATTAATAAATTGTTAATTTGAAAAATGTTGAAATTAACATAAAATAATGCTAATTTTTATTTCATTTTTCCTCCTCACTTAAACAATATTTGAAATAATTAATAAAATGGACAAATATTGAAATTGAAATATAAATTGAAAATATAAAAATTTTTTTGAAATTTTTTTGAAATCACATTCTAATTAATTATTTTATAATTACTACGAATAGCACAAATGTTAATTAATACTGTTTTTAATAAGAAGAATATGGACATTTCATTTTTTTTTTTTTTTTTGAAAAATTCTTTTACCATAATGAATTTTAGTGACAGCCTAAAAGCCATTTCAATAATATTTTCGTTCATTTTAATAAATTTCATCAATAATAATAAAATATTAAACAATATTGAAAAATGAATGGAATTTTGTTTAGTTATTAGTGAAATTTTAATTATAACTAAGTTATAATTAAATTTGTTTAATATTGTTTTTGTGTTAATTAGTTTAAAAATAATAGGAAATATGTAATATTACATTAATTTTATCTTTCTGTTCCTCAATTTGCTGCTTTTTGCTCGAGCATTGAATTAGTGAAATAATAATTATAACACCTGACTGAAATGTTAATTACAACAACAAATTGAAATAATGCTAATGATAACACCTAATTGAAATGAAAATTTTATTATTTCGTATTTCAAAAATATTTTTATTTTTAATTAATGGAAATTTGCATAGTTCATTTTGCTTTGGTTGTTTTCGTTTCTTTTTTTTTTGCATATATTAAATTCTAACTCTAAGCATTACTTTCATTCAAAGCTATTCATTTTTGAAATGGACAATTGAGTGGACATAAGTGGACATAAATGGATTAATTCCAACCTATAATGTATATTTTATTGAGGGATTTCTGTTTTTCTTACTTTGATCAAAAATGTTGAAATTNTTCATTCAAAGCTATTCATTTTTGAAATGGACAATTGAGTGGACATAAGTGGACATAAATGGATTAATTCCAACCTATAATGTATATTTTATTGAGGGATTTCTGTTTTTCTTACTTTGATCAAAAATGTTGAAATTTTCTTACTAGTATTTGATATAAAATTGTGAGAAAAAAGATGAAAATTGGTTGATTGATGCATGATAGTGATATCGTCATTTTCAACCTAAATTATATAATCTTTTATTAATTAATTAATTAATTAATTTTTACCTAAAATACAAGCCTTTTTTTTTGGTTGAATTAATCATTCTCAACCTAAAATACAAACCTTTCGTTGTTGAATTAATCAATATCTACCTAAAATATAAACCTTTTGCTACTGAATTAATCAATCTCGACCTAAAATGCAAAACCTTCGTTAATCAATTTCTGTGTTGAATTAATCAATATCTACCTAAATATAAACCTCTTGCTATTGAATTAATCATTCTCAACCTAAAATGCAAACCTTTTGTTGTTGAATTAATCAATTTCTACCTAAATAACCTTTCATTATTGATTTAATCAATCTCATCCTAAAATATAATCTTTTGTTATTAAATTAGTCATTCTCAACCTAAAATGCAAACCTTTTATTATTGAATTAATTCAATGATTTATGCAAAATAATCTAAAATTTAATAGAATATGAATAAAATTAAGATTGATAGAAAAAAATTCATAAATCTTTCAAAAATCATTTCCTATGATTTATGTAGAATATGAATAAAATTAAGATTGATAAAATAATTCGTAATTCATTTCCTATGATTTATGCAATCAACGATCAATTACATTGAACTATTTACACTAATTAATTTAATAATTAAAAGTATTATCATTCTTATTGACTTCATCTAAAATGTCTATTAGCTAAATGTCTATTAGCTAATTCTTTTAATTAATTAAATAGAGTTTTTTCAATTGAGCAATTTTCGTTAAATATTTTCAGAAATGATTCTACCCTTTCAAAAAAAAAAAATAAGAAAGGAAAACGTTTATAGTTTTTCCGGAATGATGCAGAAATGATAATAGCTGGCAGGTAGCAAGCAGTTAGCAGCAACACCTGTTGAATTAATACATCGAGCAACCGTTTATCACCGATAATTTTTTATACAATAGAATTGTAGTAGCAGTGATTAATACATAACAAATTATTACAAATATTGCATATTTAAAACAAATTTTAAAATTTGTTTTCTTTGAAATTAAAAATTAAGACAAAAGGTTAATTAGATGACTAAATATACTTTTTATTTCAAAATAAATTTTATTAATAAAACATTTTAAATCTTCAAAATTTTGAATTATTATTGATAAATTTCATATTTGATAATAAACAGCAAACATTATAATGATAAGTGATAATGTTAAAAGTGATAAATGATAATATTAATATTAAAAAATTAATTTACATATATTTTTAACTTTTAAAAAATTCGTAATTTTTTTAGAAAACGATTAAAAATTATAATTGGAAAACTATTTTGATTATTGTTGTGATTTATTATGTATAATTAAAAATATTCTTTAAATCAAAATTCTTTAATTTAAAACGTTTGAATATCAAAAATGATAATTATATACATACCTTCTCTGCAAAATTTCTTGGGAGTCAATAATTAACAATAATTAATTTTAATGAAAAAATGATAATCAATAAAAGTGGCAATCATTTACTTTCGCTGTAAATTTCTTGGGAATCAATAATTAACAGTAATTAATTTAAAAGTTAAAACTATCTTCTTCTACTTGACAACTGTCTTTCTTCCTTTTTTTTAAAAATAGCATTCACGTTTGACTTTGACTTCAACATTTCACTACTAAATAAATCTTTCATTTCTTACCACTCTATTATAAGCTATACTATCTTAGTACTATTATAAAAAATAATTCGATACCGAAATTGCATTCATATTTCCGATTATAATTTTATATATACCTAACTTAAAATTCAATACTTAAAATCATTTTTAAATTTAATATTGTAAAAATATTTAAAACTATTGCAACACTTGTTGTTGTTCTAATGGAAATAATATATTTTTTAAAAAATTCAAAATATAATTAATTCTAGGACTGAAAAGAAATCGAATTAATTCGAATTGAAAAATCATAGATGATAATTTGAAGTACAAATGGTAAAACATAAAACTTTTATAATATAAATTATTTCAGGATAGTAAGTATCATTTCATTCAATGAATATTTTTATAGTCTATCCAATATGTTAAAAAAAGAATTGAAATATTTAATTAAAACAATGAAGGAAAATAAAATTCTCCTGAGAAATCTCGGGAGAAATTATGCGCGAAATTTAAAATACTCTTATAGACTGCTAAAATTACAACTCTCATTGTTGAAGGAGGTCACAATACTCTCACACTCTTTCATAAAGCCATCAATCGATTTTTTAACACTCTATCAGCAGCTTGAATATCATTGGTTTGTGCGGAATCTCTCCCATAACCTCTTGTGCTGACCAATTTCACTCAATCGTTAAATTTACACTCTTCAATTAGTCGATCGCTAAAAAGTCGTTCAAGCTCATTAATTTATTTTAGCAACCTATTTGTTTAGTTTGAAGAGAAAATTCAACTCATTATCATTTGACACTTTGACCTTATACGATACGGCTTTATTGATCGAATTGTTCCATTAAATTTCATGGATTAATTGATAGAGGTGGCTCTTTTCTTCTTCTGTTGACCTTAGCGGTAAAAATTATAGTCATTATAGTTTGAATTCATTTCTTCTTATTTTTATAGATTACTTATACTATTTTGTATGCACTATACTTCTGCAGAAACTGCTACATAAAGTGCAAAATGGTTAAAGATAGCTATGAATTGTTCAGTCTTGTTCGATCAATTTGTCTAGGAAGATCGAAATCCTCTCCCAACAACTATATCGTTGAAGAATTGCAGATTTGTGAATCAGTCTTATTCAATCTAGGAAGATTGAAATCCTCTCCCAACAACTATATCGTTGAAGAATTGCAGATTTGTGATTCAGTCTTATTCAATCTAGGAAGATCGAAATCTTCTCCCAACAACTATATCGTTGAAGAATTGCAGATTTGTGATTCAGTCTTATTCAACCTAGGAAGATTGAAATCCCCTGCCAACAATTATATCGATGAAGAATTGCAGATTTGCGATTCAGTCTTATTCAATCTACGAAGATTGAAATCCTCTCCCAACAACTATATGATAATGGCATTCTAAAATTTGTAATGATCGGCAACGAAGATAACAATTTGTTGCATGTGCTCCGATCTACAATTCAAACGTTTTGAAGCATTCCTATGGTCCGTGGGAATGAAGTTATCATCGAATTATTCTTTTTCCCTTTCCTGAGCCAAAATTATAATCAAAAAATATTTCAGACAACCCATTTGAATTCCAAGAAAATGTATCGAAGATTTTGGCTATCAATAGTTTGGCTTTTCCTGATTCCGTTGTATTATTCCGTAACGCTAACATCGGCTACTATTCCAGGCAATGCAACGAAATCACTTTGGAAAATTTCAAAACAAAAAATCAAGTAAGTATATTCTGATTTAAGCAATTTCCGTGTATGCTTAGTTAGTTAGCATGAAATTATAGCGGATAGAACGAAATAGAAAATTCAAAAATGGAAGTGAAAATTACGATCCCTTTTTTTTTAAGAGATTTAAAATAAAGATTTAAGATTTCGTTCTTTTTGCATTTTGCAGATTTGTCATTGATGAATTTACAAATACTAAAATACCTTCGGAAGCAAAAAATTTATCCGGTCAAGAACTTATCGATTACATAAATACACATCAAACATTATGGAAGGTAACGATATAATTTAATATGAATTAATTGTTAAAATAAAATATGAAAAAGAAACAGTCTGTATTTAGATGAAATTTATTAATGAATAAATTTTTTAGGCAGGAATGAATAAATTTAATTCATATAGCGATCATGTAAAATACGGTTTACTTGGTGTATATAATATGAAACAAATGATGGATGAAAATAAGAATTTGCAACCAATACAACAGGATATTTCCTATATTCCGGAATCATTTGATGCACGTAAAAGATGGCCAGAATGTGCATCACTTAAAAATATTCGTGATCAATCTTCCTGCGGTAAGATTAATTTCAACTCTCAGATTGATTTTAACTTTTAATAAAAATAATATTAATAAGCAATTTTTAAAGTTCACTCTTTAATATCAATAATATGTGGTATTAATACCAATGATATACCTAATATTCCATATACAATCTTGTAAACTGTAACAGTTCAATTATTTATCATTTTTATCATTTGAATGAATAAGCGAATTTAGGATCATGTTGGGCAATAGCTGCTGTAGAAGCGATGTCAGATCGAATTTGCATTATGTCAAAGGGGAAATTACAAGTAACACTTTCAGCAGATGATCTTATCAGCTGTTGTAAAACTTGTGGTTTTGGGTAAACTATTTGAATGTTATTATTCATTTAGCTTTTTCTTTCTTTTTTTTGTATTTTCAGTTCGTCTTGAATTATTTGAGATCATAAGTAATTATGATAAAATGATAAGAATTATTCAATTAACACAATATTTTCTTTTATATTTAAACTTTAATCATTCATTCTTAATTATTTTCTTACGTATCATGACGGTAATAAAAATTATTCTTAAATTAATTCGGTAAAATCTATCTTTGTCCTAAATACAAATCTTGGCCGTATTATCAAGTAGCCTAATAATATAGATACGTATCTTACTTTGCAGATGTTATGGCGGTATGCCAATGGCGGCTTGGAAATATTGGGCTTCAAATGGTATTGTTACAGGAAGTAACTATACAAATCATGCCGGTTGTCGACCTTATCCATTTCCACCCTGTGAACATCACAACAATAAGACACATTATGAACCATGTAAACATGACCTTTATCCAACCCCGAAATGCAACCGGAAGTGTGATAAAAATTACCCAAAGTCGTACAAAGCCGACAAGTATTACGGTTAGTTCATAGAGATTCGTTATTGTAATAAGAAACATTCATTGATAAGTGATAATGATACTTTCTGGGATTATGTCAAAGATACAAATAATAAATTTATTGATTAATTAGTTAATTCTCAAGTATAATCCTCATGTGAAACTTTCGTTGACTCTTAAGACTTTGTAAGATACTGAAATTAAATAATAATAAGGAAAGGAATGAATTACTTTGAATTTCATATCCATTCAGGTTTTCTCCATTGTTTTTTCTTCAGTTAACAATCTGTTAAATTTATCTTTCATAAGCAAAATTATCAAATATTAGTAATTATATACGAAATAATTTGAATAATTATTCAGACCTATATGATATAGCTTAATTATAATATTTAAATGAGTACTAAAATTTATAGGGAAAAAAGTTTACTATGTTGATAACGATGTAGAATCGATTCAAAAGGAAATCATGGCAATGGGTCCGGTTGAAGCTTCGTTTAATGTATACAGTGATTTTCTGCAATATACTGGTGGAATTTACAAGGTCTTTATCAACTTAAAAATGAAATCTAAAAATACGGAATCTAAAAATGAATTCTAAAAACATCAATTAAGTGTGATAATTCAGACGATATAAATAAATTCATTTTAAAAATAATTCTTAATAATTATTAGATTTAAGAGAATTTCAGATTTTCTAATGTCTCCGTTTTTTATAAATAATAAAACTTTTTTAATATTCTAATCAAAAAGATTGGAATGACAAAAAGAAAGAAAATTCTTACTTAAGAGCCTGATAATTGATATGATCACTCATAACTGATTCTGTTTAACTTATCATTAACAGTAATTATTATCACAAGGAATTTTATCACAAAGAATTACAGAAACCATATTATTATGATTTTTAATTTAGCTAATCTAATTTATGTTGTATTTATGAAGCTATTATTTTTCTATTCTGTTATTGAACAATTTTCAGATACTTTCAAAATTCTTTATGAACGTTTCATATTTGGAAACATAACGTGTTGATGTTATTTCATAGTTTACAGTGTATCGAATAGTTGTTATTTTTCAATGATACAATTTCAAAAAAATCAATGCATAATATTCAGCATGTAGCGGGATCTATGGGTGGTGGACATGCCGTAAAATTGCTTGGTTGGGGTATCGATCAAGGAGTACCATATTGGTTGGCAGCTAATTCATGGAATACTGATTGGGGAGAAGATGGTTGGTTAATTTTAAATTTCATTCTTTTTTTCCAAAATAAAAAAGGAGAATTAGAGAAGTGAACGAGTGTCCATCTAAATTTTGCTAATTAATTCCAACTTTTTTAATTTATGATAATAGAAATTCAGGAAGTGAAGTAATTCGAATTTCACAACTTAATTTAATTTAGCTAAAATTAAATTAATAGATTAAATTGAGTTAAATGTGCTGCTATCATTTATTAAATAATGTAAAAATATTTATTAATTATTACTATTAATTTAATTCTAAATTTACTTGTTCCGATGAATATACAAGGATACTTACGAATAAATAGATGGAATTTAATTCACAGAGCTTAAAAAAATATTTTTAGGTTATTTCCGTATTATCCGTGGTATTGATGAATGCGGAATTGAATCAGGTATCATTGCCGGAATTCCTAAACGAACAACTAAATCGGAATTTCATGAAATCAATAAATTTCCAATCGAATAACAGAGAACGAACAAAAAATTTTGAGCAGGAAGTAAAGAAGATAGATGATAGCATCAATCAAAAGCATATTTCAATTTGATATCATTTTAACAGATAATGTTTTATCATACATATATTAATTTGAATTCATTTACTGCATTATCGAATATTATCATTTAAGAAATAAAAATTTGCATTTTCCTATCACATTAATTGCATTCATTTTATATACATATATTTTTTCTCTTAATCCAAAAAATAACTCATATTCGAAATCATAAATTTATCCGAAATAAGTTTTCCATTATTATTGTTGTTTACAAATATTGAAAATTGTCGCCAACTATCTTTTTTTTAAATGGTACTTTCTCATACAGAGATATGGTGATAAATTTTGTATCATTGTTTAATAATTTGAACTTAATTATTGATCTTGAATACTAATTAATAAAGCTAAATGAATTACTTTAGTTTAGCCGCACACAAATTCAGGAAATATAATGAAATTCAAAAGTGGAAACGGAGAAGATAGATTAATTAAAATAAATTGAATGTCATTTTTGTAGTAATTTATTGCATACGAATATATCTGTCATTAATATTATCAAAGGTTTCTAATTCATTTTTTATTTTTTGATAAATATAATCGATGAAAATCAATTATGCAAAAAAAAGGAACTATTTGAAGTAAAAAATCATAATTTTCTTTCACTAAAGAATGTTTGATATTTCTCAGTGATATTTGGTACTTCTTAGTGACCACAAAGGGTATTTGATATTTCTCAGTGATATTTGGTATTTCTCAGTGATCATAAAAAATATTTGGTATTTCTCAGTGGTATTTGGTATTTCTAAGTGATCACAAAGAATGATTGATATTTCTTAGTAATGCGGTAAAAAAAAAGGAAAGAAAACTTTATCTATTAAGAAATTACTCATTGGTACTTCTTAGTGACCACAAAGGGTACTTGATATTTCTCAGTGATATTCGGTATTATTCTTGTTATTCTTACCGCGAAATTTACATTTACTTTGTACAATTGGATTTTGAAAGTGTCGCAATGATCGATGATAGTATTTTATTGATAAAAAAAATGTTTATGAAATAGAATTTTAAAAAATTTGAAATTTTTAGAGAGAGAATAGAATAAAATAGGACAAAATATTTATAGAAGAGAGAACAGAAAGAGAGAGAGAGAGAGAGAGAGGGAGAGAGAATAGAAAGAGAAGTTTAAATTAAAATTATGTAAGCGGCAATAATTAACAGGCAAAATTGTAGCGAAAATGAGACGTTTATATTAAAGCCTAATAGTTGTTAGATTAAAATATTTAAATTTAATTAGGAAAATATTCAAATTTTCCTAAATTGAATTTACTATTATATTGCTTGTCATTTATCAATTAATGTGTATTTGTTAATTTTGGTTTCTATCAAGCAGTTGTTGCTCTTCAAAATTATTCTCATTAACTATTTTTAATTTAACTTATAAACAAGTCAAAGTTCAAACAGATTAAAAATTATCAAAGGTTATCATTTGGGTATCCTAAAAATTGAAATATATAAAATATATTTGATGAGAAGATTTTAGCAACATTTATAAATGTACCGTTGGGAATTGCTGATAAGATAATGGTAAGATAATAAATAATAAATTCAATTGATAAGATAATAAATTCAATCTTTATGATATTTTTAAAATTAATGATTTAAATCCAAACTTCTAAAAAAAATCGACCAAACTTAAAATTAAATTTCAATTTGAAAAAGTGTAAGCTTCCCTAAAAAAGCTGAAAACTTTTTAATCTCTTTCTCTTTTTTGCTTTTGTTTAAACTATTTAAAGGTATTTAGGTAAATGAAAGTATAATGATGAATGAAATTATTTATTCTCTTCCATGGGCTATGTTGTTAATGGGATTTGCTAATAGTTATATGATAGGATGATGATAAATTCAATTTTGATGATATTTTTAAAATTAATAATTTAAATTCAAACTTCTAAAAAAAAAAACCAACCAAATTTAAAATTAAATTTCAATTTGAGAAAGTGTAAAAGCTTCCGTAAAAAAGTTAAAGAAAACTTTTCAATCTTTTTCGATTCATTTTCTTTGTTTAAACTATTTAAAGGTAATAAGATAAATGAAAGTAAAAATGGATTTCAATCTCTTGCTCGTTTTGTTTTTGTTGAAAACTATTAAAAGGTATTCAGGTAAATGAAAGTATAATAATGGATGAAATTATTTGTTCATTTCTATGGGCTCTGTTGCTAATGATTGTAATGTTTATCAATGTTAATTCTCTATTTGATTGTTCCTCTAAAAAAGTTTGAAATTTTTCAGATTTCTTTCTTTTTCTTCTTATCCTTGAAATGCTAATTTAAAGCTTCCAAAAATTTTTTGCATGAATTCAAATAATTTTTTTCCGAAATATTTTGCAATAATTTAATTAGCTATAAAAAATTAATTGAAATTCCTGAAATTATCTATTTAAATTAATTGTAATTCCTGGAATTTATCAATTTAAATTTATTGGACTTCCTGAAATTATCAATTTAAATTAATTGGAATTCCTGAAATTATTATTTTCATTTATGCTATTAAGTCTTTCTTGTTACTGTCAAACTTTAATATGAAAGAGCAAAAAAAGAACAAAAACAAAAGTTTTTAGAAGAAGCAAAATAAAAATAAGAAGAGCAAAGATAAAGACAAAGAAAGTAAGCTAATTTCATTTTGCTAATATCGTTATTTCTTTTTATCCTTCCGATATTTTTAGTTTTTCAAAAACAAAAAGGGAAGAAATTAAAACTATGGAATTTGCTATGAAATTTGATGCAAACTTCTATTTTACTTTATTTTTTTGCTATTTTATATTTTGTAAAATTAGTTCGGAAACTATCAAGTTTAGAAATTCCGGAAACTATCAAATTTAGAAAATCAGGAAGCTATCAAATTTGGAAATTCAGGAAACTATCAAATTTAGAAATTAAGGAAGCTATCAAATTTTGAAATTCAAGAAACTATCAAATTTAGAAATTCAGGAAACTATCAAATTTAGAAATTCCGAAGCTATCAAATTTAGAAATTCAGAAATTACCAAATACTTGCTAAGCTATAAATAAATGAAATGCGAATCTTTGTGATTCTTATTTCTTCTTTGCAATTATAATTCAATTGGATTACTAAAACAAGTAATGAAACTGATAAAAAACTTATAATATAAAAATTAATAAACTATATAATTAAGAATGAAATTAATGAAATAATGAAAGTAATAAGAAAATAATAAAATTTCTAAATGCATTCATTTAATTTTAAAAATTGAATTTGATAAAATCAAAATTTGTTTATTTCATAATTAAAAATTATAGCAATTAAAACATTTACCACTGCAAGTTATAATGAAAAACAAAAATTGACCAATTAAGTAAACTATAAAATAAAATAGTCATATAAGAGCAAGACTAAGAATAATGTTATCAATTTTGTTTGATACATTTATAGTGATGACACCTTTGAGACATTTACAATCATCTCTCTACTGCATATATAAGCTAATAAAAGTTGATTAAAAAATTTTATGATTATTTTTAATTTCTTCAAATTGATACTTTCTTATTTTTCCAGGTGCTAGAGCAAAGGATGCTTCTAAGGTACCAGCTCAGGGTGAAATAATTGAAACAATTGGTCCAAATTATCAGGTATCACGTTTGAGATTTCAAATTCTTGATAACTATTTTTGAATGTTAATTGGTAGCATATTGCAGCAATTGTTTTAATAATAATAATATTTTAAAATTTAGGCTTTTAAGCGTTTTTAGGCACGGTGGAATATTTATGAGAATTAGGCATAAACAAGCATAAATAAAAAGTCTTAGCTAATCAAAAATTATAAGTTATCACTTGCTAAAATAAATTTAAAAAATACTACAGACGATGGCCGGATTAGGAAATGATGTTTTTGGTGGTGGTAAAGAAGGAGCAGATGGAGGTGGTGGTGGTACTTTACAAGCTTTAACTCAAGGTGGTACTGCCGGTAAGCTGGAATTATTTTGACTTTTTTTCTTGAAGTTTCTTAAAGAACCAATTGCGAATAAATCACTTTGCTAAATTACTGAAAAGTTTTTCAACCAAATTTTTTTTTGGTTGAAAAATTTCTTAAACCGGAACCTTCTTTGGTTGAAAAATTTCTTAAACCGGAACCTTCTTTGGTTGAAAAATTTCTTAAAAATTTCCATATATTTAGGAACTCCTTTTAATTAAAATACTTAAAATCTCTGAAATTATCCAAACTACAGAAGTGCTTTTATAAATCTTCTTTAATAAACTTAAGCATTTGATTAAACTTCCAAATTATTCCAGGAACCTATAATCCAAATTATCAAACAATGGCTGGTCTTGGTAATCATGTTTTCGGTGAAAAAGGTGGTGGTAGTGGTAATTAACCACACGGTGCAGAAAGTGAAGCAGCACCTAAAGCACCGCAGCAAGGTGGTATAGGCTGGTATGTTTTTATAGGAAGATATTTTCAGGATAATTACAAATATATTCCAATGATTTATAGGCCTATTTGTATTCGTCTTCTCAAAATCTCTAAATATTTAACCCTTGTTTATCTATTTTTGTGCAGTATACAATCTTCTGTTACTTCTTTCTAATAATTAATCAACACTCATTTCGTTGAAATGATTTTAGGAGCATATGAACCAAATTATCAAACGTTTACCGGAATGGATAATAATGTCTTCGATAAGAAATAACGCATTTAAAAAAAAATACTAAATTTTATTTTGAACCACAAATTAAACAGCTTTTTTACTCGTTAAATATACACTTCAATATTTTACTCTTTGAAATTTAAAAACGTAAAAATACGAATTGTTCGATAATATGAAAATAAATATTATTATATTGTGAAATAAAGCAATTCCGATAGAGACAACAATTATTATCAAAATTAGATAACATGATAATAGCGTCTTTATCATATCCACCTACAGTATAAGTTATGGTATATATTAAGATTGTATGATGTTCAATTCATCACTATATCATATGTTCAAACTTACAGAAATAGTATTAAAGTAACAATTCAAGCACATAAGTGATTACTATATTATATCATATCTTATTTAACTCTATTTTTTTTTTTACTGTTTTATTTATTATCATTTTCTGTTTATCACTCAGATTAACTTTCTTTTGATAAATTTTTGTAATTTTTTTTTAGAGCGATATAGAAATTATAGGAATTTACTGAAATTATAATAATAAATAATTATCTTTTGTTGAGCAAATATAATTTGTTGAAGTAAATATTAATTTTGTATATCGATTTTTGTTTTCTAATCATTAACAATTCCATTGATGAATTGATATACGTATATTGGAAGATGATAACTATTCTGTTCTATTCGGATCTAAGTTTATTCTAACAGGGTAATGGAAATTTTTTTAGTCAAGCTTAGTAACCGATATCAGGATAGTGAAAATTTTTCAGCCAAGCCTGGTAATCGATATCAGGATAATGGAGATTTTTCAGCCAAGCCTGATAATCGATATCAGGATAATGGAGATTTTCCAGCCAAGCCTGGTAACCGATTACTTGGCTCATAAGTAAACCATAGTCTGTCTCAGGAGAAATGAGATAGAAAATGAAGAGCGTAGAGAGAGAGTAAAAGAGCAAAGAAGTGGTACTACGACTACGTTGCACAAAGTACTGAGACAACAGGAATAGAGATGATGAGTTCGCGGTCGGGAAGTGGTAAAAGTTGCAGCTTGATGATAAGGTAAGATACGTTGTACAAGGAGAAGGGATTTTCATGGAGAAAAGGGAAGATATTAGCAGTCATATACCATTGAGATATCGCGGGATGTATAATAGTAGTGTAATTATTCCTTTAAGCATAGTATGCTGAAAATGTTCCTGATTTGGAAAGTACAATGAAAACTGAATTTAATCAAAGACAAAAGGTTAGTAAGAAACAATTAGCCAACTTTTCATTACCTCCTGAAATGACATACTCTTCATCAATTCCATCATTCATTAGCATCAATTCTTAACGTGAAGCTTTTTTTCTTGATAATGATATTTTTCTGTTTCTCAATTCTTTCTCATTACTATTCGATATTGAAAATATCCCATTGAGGAAGTTTACATTGTTTTGTTTATTTTATTAGCATAGTTGATATTCGTTATGATTATGGTATTAATAATATAGTATTAATATTATGGTATATAGTATTAATATTATTAATATTATGGTATTAATAATATATTAATATAGTATTAATATTATTAATAATAGTATTAATATTATGGTATTAATGATTATTATGGTATTAATGATATTCTTTGTTATGATGATTATAAAAAAGAAAAAAATTTAGTTAGACTTCGTTATGGCTATTGTTTTAGGAGAAATATGATATAGTGATGTTCGACGTGTTGAAAGTTCGAGCTGAAGATATTGCTAGTCAAATTACCCTCATTGATATTTCACTCTTCAAAGCAGTCACTTCACAGGTATGATCAACGTTTTTATTATGGTTCATATCTACAAATGATTCGTATTCTATCAAACAATATGTACCGAAATTATTGAAATCTCGACAATCTTTTTTTACACCGCTGATGGCTTTTGATCTTCTTAATGCTAAATTTTTAAGGAACTATTAGGGGGAGCATGGACAAAGAAGAGTAAGCATGTGGATGCATCGAACATAGTTGCATTCACTGATCGATTCAATTCGGTTTGTTTATGGTGTCAGCGGGAAATTTTGTCACGTGAGAAAGTTGCTAAACGTGCTGAAGTTCTTCGACATTTTATTAGAATTGCAAAGGTATGTTTGCGTAAACTGTGGTTCGAAATTCCTTCTATTATTATCTGCTTGCAAAATTATTTAGTGACATCATTAATGTGAGATTTTTTTTTCAGCATTTGTGCGACCTGAATAATCTCAACTCAACATTTTCGATTGTGAGTGCGCTGCAAAGTCTTTCCATTTATCGTTTGGCGAAAACATGGAGAGTGAGTTTAATTTTGTTTCTGTTTTTGGCATCCCTTTGACAGTTTAAACAAACTTGAAGTTTTCAGACACAATATTGTTTGAAATTATTTCTAATTTGAAGATTTCAGCTTATTGATCGATCAGAACATGAAGAACTTACCAAGTTGCAATTGTTGTTTGATAGTGAAAGTAATTGGAAACGTTTACGAGAACATCTAAATTCTGCTAAATTACCGTGCATACCTTATTTAGGTTGTTATTTAAGCTGCATTTTTCGATATTTTCAAGCCTTAGCTTTGGCATTTACGATAACAGTATTAAGTATTAGTTTTGGTACTTGTAATAACAGTAATCTATCTTCTGAAGATTTGGTACTTTTCGAATTACTCTGCGTGATGCTTCAAATTCACGCGGTTGCCTGATTATTTTGATTATCAAGGGTTACTTTAATCTAATTTTGAAACAATTCGTGTGAAGACATTTGAAAAGCCAAATGTAATCATTTATTAAATTTTGAGCTAAATCCTTGTAGCTGAGAGTGAATATCAACTTCTAAGTGTTTTTAGTTCAAAGAGCTTATTACATTTTTAATAGTTTTTCACAGATAATTGGCACTCGTTTGGAAAATATGCATACTACAAAAAGCATAGAGGATCACAATAAGTACTTTTATTTGCTAAATTCTTTTCTTCTAACTCAAATTACTTTATGTTTCAGTCTAATTAATTTTAGGTTTGTATCTTACTGATCTCAGTTTTATTGACACTGCTCATGGCACTGCAAGAAAAAATTTTACGGAATCTGAAAACACAAACCGGAAGAAAGACGAAGTTTTAGCTCGTATTTCATATTTTCAGGGATCATTTTATGGTGGGTTTCTGCTTTTTATAGTTTTTTCTTTTCAAATTAGACAATGGCTTCTACTATTTCGATAAATGAATGCGCTTTCTTCAGATAATTTGACGTACGTGGAATATCTACAGAAATATCTTCAGTCATTCAAAATTCATGATGTGCCAGTTAAATTTACAGAGAATGATTTGTTCAGGTAGCTTTGGATTTTCTATATTGTATTCAATCATCTTTCCTGAGGCTGGAATTTCTCTATAATTTTGTACTTAGTTTGACGTCTTTTTCTAGTCATCGTTAAGCATTATAATTTTTGTCTCATTTTACCTCTGCGCGTACAAAAATAACGTAAGAGCAAATCTTGTTTGAGGTATATATTTGGTGTTCTTTGCTACATAGTTACTGTTATTATCAATTTCTGCATATTTTTTTTGGCTGTCATTGGCGCGTGAAAGTGATACACACCGTGCTTCATCATCATCATCGCCAGTGGTTAAATTCCTACGCCGTCCATCATTGTCGCGAACACTGTTAGCAATCAATCGACTTCGTTCAAATTTATCGCCTTTTGAGAAAACTGCTCAATCGCCGACTCCCCAGCTTTCACCAAAAATACGTAATCGTCATGCCATCGTTTCTGATCATCGAAGAGCTCGCAGCTTAGGTACTAAACTAAATACTGGGTAGGCTTTCTCAAAGCATGTTTTTGGTTTAATGATTTGTTATAATCGATCAAATCATTTAAACCTCGGAATCCTTTTTCAGGAAATTGGGCATGTACGCGCTTTCACAAATGTTGAAAATACTTAGTAAATGCTGTAAAAGGAGACATTGTTTCAACTAGATTTTATAAAGACCAGGTCCTTTGAATAGAGGTCATAATAAGTGGCGAAAAATGTTTTTGTAAATGAGTGTTACATTTTGTTTGGTTTCAGAGAAGTTAATCTATCGTTTTCTTTTGGCACAGACTTGTCTCATTCAAAAAACATTGAAGGTAATATTTTTTTGATTTTTTCTTCCTAGATATATTTAACAAATTGTAGTGTTCGGTAGAATATTTTCATATATTTATATCATTAAAGATATGACAAAAATTAAAGCCATTAAATAATGAATGTAACTAATAAAACTAGTAGAAGTGAATAAGAAGTAAATTTTACAGGCAGAGAGTTAACGACGTCGCCGATTCCTACATCTGTTGAAAATACGACCATTTCTACATATTCGCCACGTTTTGTTAACTCCTTATCATCATTTAATCCTCTAAAAACATCTACACCTCTGCGACCTGCACCAAAGCTGTCGCCAACAATTCAGTTCAAGTTATAATTCTTTAATTTTTTTTTGAAATTTTAAGCTTCACAGATTTATTTTCCATTCTTTTGCTGTTCAAACTCATGATCATTTGCTTTTCTAGTTCATTTGGTCGTGAAAGTAATACAGATCGATTACGTCTTATTGATGTTGATGACGACAATGATTGCGAAATTTTGGATTACGAAGGCGAAGCTACTGTCGTTATTGTTCGCAAATGTAGCATTAAGTCACCTATGGTACCTGTTGTTTTTGTTGATTGGATTTATAAAGTCCCATGTTAATTTGCATTGGATAAGTAATTTTTTAAAACAAAGCCCAGCTTCATTGCATCCATTTCCGTTTGTATTCATGATTCAGATGAAATGTAGTCAAAAATGTTATCTGGAATTACGCAATTCACATTTGCACCAGTTCTGCCGTCGAAGTGTTAACATTCGATGCAAGAGTAATCGCGACGCTTACTATAAAAAAGCAAGCAAAGTAATGAAGTTAGAAGAAAATGAATGGTGTGTCACATGTTGCATTAATTCGACGGAGCCATATTTCGAGATGCATCACCCACCAACTGGCAAGTTTCCTGAGTTTCGGAATCATTTCTATAGGAGAATCTGACATTATTTTCACTTTCTTTTTTTTACTAAATCATTGTTATTGAATTGATTTCTAGGTCGAATATACCGTTACATATGCAAGAACGAAACAGACGCTGCGGAATGGTATAAGCATATTCGAGAAGCTATTCAAAATGCATTACTTAGAGCCTGAATTTTTTCAGTTTTATACTAGGATGCACGTAGAAAATGTATGAAGATGAGATCTACTTTACATCTGATTCAGTTTCTGCAAGGTTTTCCTGATATTTGCTCTTAATTTATCTTCGAGCCACAAACATTGGATAGTATGGAGATCATATCATCTTTTTTACAAAAAATTCATTTTTACGAATTTTCCTTGATATCGAGTTTGACTTCAGTACTATGTTTGAGCGTATTATTAGCAATCACATGTCAAGACAACTGTAAGCACTAAAAGATTTAATTTAATTTGCTCATAATCTAGGTCTTGTCATTTTAACTGCTAGTTGCAGGCATGAAAATTGCCCATTGCGAAAAATGGTGTTTTAAAAGGTACTTTAGTCTCCTTTAGACATTGGTCTTATCTTTACTCTAGTATTGCTGTTATGAATAATGGTGCTGTCTTCTATTTTTGGGCATTAAATATGAAGTGATTTGCTTGAATTTATATCGTCTTTATATGTTTTTGACGAGCTTGTTGTTGGACTTTCAAATTATCGAGCTTGTTGTTAGACTTTCAAAAAAATCAAATTATCAAAAAAAATTTTTTTGCCTTATTTGTTATTTACATATTGTATTTGTGTGCTTTCTTAATCCTGTTCCTTCTCATTTACATATTCTATTCTTGTCAGTTAAATTGTTTTCTCAAATGTTATTAGCAGAAGTTCTTAAAAAGCATCGTTTAATGTTTTTTATTAAATAGTTTATTAGAAAAAATTGAGAGATCAAAAGATATCGAACGATAGACGCTTTTTGTCGAAAGTGACAACTATTTGTTTTTCGAAATAGATAATATAGTTATCATCCTATTCATTGTATCACTTTCCTTTTGATCTCATATCTTTCACCCTTTCATTGCTGTATTAGCTCTTAGGTTTCGTTTGCGAAAAATCGGACTTGGCAAAATTACTTCTGTTATCCCTAACTTCTGAAAGTATCTGTTCAATGATACTGATATTTTCCTACTCGTACGATAACATTTGAACTTGTCAGGTTGAACGTGTTTTCCATCATCCATAGTTATAGAATAGTTTACGTTAGTACCATGGAACTGTGTATTTTTCGTCTTATGCACGGGTTTCACTTCCTATTATTGAATCTCGTTATATCCCTTTGATATATTGCAGGGTATCCGGTATAATCAATGTGTATACTTTAAATGCATTTTGTATTTATTTATATTTAATCTTCTTTTCTCAGAATAAATGAATCTCATTTTATAATTCTAATATTTTTCCATGAAAAATTTTCCATTGAAGGCTAGTTTTTGAGCCTTATTTTCAGGATGTTCATCATAGGTGCAGTAAATTAGAAAAAACTGCTTATATAATGTAATATTTTAAAAAGGTTGAAGTAAGTGATCACACTATGTTTTCTGGTTAAGAATGTAACTTATACGGACAGATAGCTTTCTTAGGAAATAAAATTTTGATTGTGATATAATATCACTAATCCATTTATATGCATAGATTAGTGATATAATATCACTAATCCATTTATATGCATAGATTACTGCTTCGTACCTCAAATTCTTGTTTTTTTTTTTAATTATTTTAATGGAAAGAAGAAGAGTTTGTTTTAAAAAATAAATAACTTTTTTACTATCAACTAGATCTGGCAGTTTTTATTAGATTGAGTAAAATTTAATTAAATTAATTTGGAGTAGCGAATTTTTTTCGTGTGTTAGCAAAGTATCATGAGTATGTTATATAAATCACGATGGTGAATTTTGAATATGAGTACTTAACAAAAGCTGAAAACATGATTTGGAATAATGATATTACAAAAACTATAAGCAAGTCGCAACAAGGCGATTAGAGTGATGGAGACAGCTCTTCACTCTAATCACGAATAGCTCATACTGCTTCAACAAGTTGTCAACAGCTTGCTTAAACCGTTATTTTTCTCATTAGTATTCGTTTGTGTGAAGTGCTTTGCACTTAAATTTTGTAATTGCACTTATTGATTTTTACGTATGTTTATTTGCACCTATATTCATTTATACTGATATAAATTGCTTTATATAAAGTAATTTTAAAAAATCAAGTCAATAAAAAAGCGTTGTGTTCACGTGCAATACTCGGAATGTTAAAGGTATGGTTAATTTGCTAAGAAGTGGCAGCAGCAAGGTATTTTTGTAATTTGGTTTGCTTGTATCACTATTATTGTATAAATTTGTAGGTTATGGTGATCAGATTCACATCGAATGTTACCGATCCACCAGTGATGTTATATATGGGTGTTGATAAATTTGAAAATGAAAATTTGATAAGGTGAAGATGTATTAAAATAATATTGAGCTTTAGTGGGCTTGTCAAAATTATCTATTTCATTTATTTCCAATACTAAGTTCAAATGTTGAGAGATCGGAGAATAATAATTAGGCGAGAATAATTTTCTTACGCCTAGCTTATATAAAATTGAGCAGCAGGTTTAAAGCTTAGTTTAAAGCTTATGGTATTTTCAAAAAAAGAAGTGGAAAATTAATCGTTGAGTCATGCATTAAAAACTTTCAGACAAAAATATGTGAGGAAGAATTGTGGAAATTTAGGCAGTCATTTTCAGATGGGGTTGGCCCGAAGATGTTTGGTTTCATGTTGACAAAGTGTCATCCGCACATGTATATGCGCGTTTACCTGCAGGACAAACAATCGATGATATGTCAGAAGCTTTAGTTGAGGACTGTGCTCAATTGGTGAAAGCTAATAGCATCCAGGTTTTCACTTATTTAAATGCTTTAAATTCTGAACATACAATTCCATTTAGCTCTTTTCTTTGAGCAAAGAAATGTTGGCTGGGAAGTGTTCTAAATTAGCATTTAAGATAGAAGCATCATTAGCGAAGCTTCTTTCAGTCTTCATCTAGCGCTTCACTTATTTAAATGCTAGAGAAGCTTCATTTTTTTTCAGGGCAACAAAATGAATAACATCGATATAATTTATACTCCTTGGGAAAATTTGAAGAAAACAGGCAGTATGGATGTTGGACAGATTGGCTTCAAGGATGAGAAAAAAGTAAAAAAGGTGATTTCTTCTGCAAGAAATAAAGTAGCACTTCTATTAGACTATATGTGCATTTCTTATATTGGTATGATAACGACTGAGATAAGTATCCATAAAGAAATTGCGATATTAGTTGTCTAAATTTGTAATCCATCTGTTATAAATGAAGTTTAGAAATTGGTTGCAACTACTTCTAGATTTGACTGTTTATTTGGCTTTTTTACTTCTCCAAATACTTATGGAGCTGAATAACTTCTTTTAATGCTGTCCATAACAATTCGCTTTTTTGTTTGATTCATTATTTAAGTTCTGGAATCTTTATAATTTATAGATACGTGTTGCCAAACGCATGAATGATATTGTTAACAGATTAAATAAGACTGAAGTGCGCGTAGATATTGATTATCGAGCTGAAAAGGAAGAGAGGGATGCAAAAGAGCGTCAGATTAAGGTAAAATATTTACATTACATATTTACATTAAAGTAACATATTTACATTATTTGCAAATACAAGCGTTCAATCATCATCGGAAATCCTTATTTTGATCATAACAGTTATTGAAAGGTCACCGAGATTAAATTCAACTGTTTGCTAATTTTTTTTATCAGTTTCGAATAACCAAAAATCACCACTAACTAATGGTGTTTTAATCTTTTAGTAAATTTCTTAAATGATATATCAATTACCGCTTTACGTGAATTGATCTTCTCTGTTTTGATTCGAGTTGATAATTTTTTGAATTTTTTTAGAAACAAGAGCAACGTGAACTAAAAGAAGCCGAAAAAGCAGAAATGGAAAGAAGAGAAAAAGAGCGTCAAATGCGTTCCTATGATAGTGTTTTTAATGAGGAAAAAATGCATTCGAATTATGATGGTGGTAATGATTCTGATGATTTCATGTGAATAGTTAGTAGCTTGTTTTCTTTCTTTCATTTATTCTAACTTTTCACTTTTGTGGAGTGTATTTCTTTTCTATCGTTGGAAGGTTGTTGCTCTATCTGGCATTGTTATGGTTTAGTTATGGCTTATGGTTTATGGGTTTGGGTTTATGGGTAGTGATCCTACTGCCTCAGGGATTTTTTGCTTATTTATTTACTTGATGGTTTGTAAAAACTGCTAAATTTGAAAAATTTTGTATTCCTTGTTTTGTACATATCATCATCAACAGATATATCTGCTGGGATTAAATTGCACGATGTGTAACTTTAGAATAAAAATAATAACAGTAACTATTTGCTCCTGTTTCTTAATTCTTTTTACTCGTTATGGTCTCGGCAATTATCCTGGATGTTAACAGGACGATGTGACTACTTTCATATTCGATGTAATATGGCATTAAAAAACGAACAATTTCATCAAAAGTAGGTCGATCTACAGGCTGTTTTCTCCAGCACTGTAAGACAATGTTGTAGATGTAATAAGGCATAGCCGATGGTTTCTCCATTCGATGATCGTCTGAAATTTCCAGATGATAAGAAATCAAAAATCTGCCCGATAACGAAAAGAAAAAAGGTAGATGAGGTTCAATGATGGGGTATTTTGATGGAGTGTATTATTGCAAAGTCTTAAAATTATCGATGCACCGATCTCACAATTAATACCTTTCAGGAAAGGTAACACTTTTTCGTTCGGCAGCATTCCATATGGATCAATTACACCATAAATTTCTGTGGCAAGTATTGCATATGCCCACACGTCTGATTTCGTGCTCAGCTCTCGGCGATGTAGCACTTCTGGTGGCAACCATTTGAAACTGCAACGACATAAATTACAGTCCAGACATACCAGTGAATATACTGAGTTATATTTTCTCAGATTGCTGCACAACTTACGGCATTTTTTGCGGATCATCGGGGAGGAAATGTACTTCGTGACGAGTCGTTTTTGATAGACCAAAGTCACTTATTTTCAACAGATATCTGTAAAGTCCAGAATTTTCACACACAATAAGGTATATATATAGTTTGGCAAGATCTGTTAAATTTACAATTAACCATCATCATCCTACATATGGTGAGGTAGACAAAAATTACGCAATAAAAAATATGCCGACATACCTTGTTTCATCTTTCGGGTGATGACAAATTAAAACATTGCGTGCAGCGAGATCCCCGTGTACAATTGGTGGATCTAGTGAATGAAGATGTGCCATACCACGGGCTATTTGCGAGAGAAAATCGACATGTTCATTTGCTGATATGTTATATTCATGTGCCTAACATACATTCTCATTAACTGAAGTGGAAGATTTTGTAAAATTGATATATTCCATATTTAATTTATTATGTGAAAAGGCTTATATGGCCAATAATGGAATTTACATGTTTTCTCTGATTTAAGTGTAAAGCTCTTCTGAATTGTCGAAATGGAACGAACCTTCATGAAGTCAGCTAACGATCCAACATCCATAAGTTCGAATGTAAGCATTGCATATTCCTTCGTTTCATCATAACAAAAGCCGTAGAATTTCGTTACATTTGGATGACTTATTACCTGAAATTTCTTACCTGATCGATTTGATAATCAATTGATAAATTTCTTCTCCATTCTGTTTCCTTTTAGTATCTTTAGAAATTTTTTTATCCTCCAATTCAACATTTCCTTTCGATCAATAAATTATTGAATTTGAATCTGTATTACTTGCACAATTTTCAAATCAAAATTTTCTTTATATAGCTTTAATAAGACTTTAAATTCCGGATTTCTAATAAATTACCTGCAAAATTTCCATTTCAGAAATCCATGATTGTCGATGTTCCGCATTCGGTGCAGCTATTTTCAGTTTTTTAATAGCAACATTTACCTAAGGATATTTTATTTTTTCTATCAGTGGAAAATTTGTCGGAAAAAAAGACAATAAGAAAGTAATTAAAATGAACGAAAATTTTGTTTAGTTGTGAACTGAAGTTATTTTCACACCTCAATTTAAATATTATATATATATATTTTTCAATATATATATTTTTCACACCTCAATTTAAATATTATAATATTATCTTATTTGCTAAAAAAAACAATTTCCACTTTTATTATACTATCTCTTGAGATATCGATCATCTATTTCTCCACTCTTAATGCTAGATTTGACAACATGCTAATTACCTTGCCATCAGCTGTTTCCAAGCTTCCACGATACACTGAACCAAATGCTCCTGATCCAAGCATATCTTCTGGAGAATATTTCTATAATAATTTAGAAGTTCAGAAGTTAATTTAAAAATTATTGAAAATCATAAATTGAAAATTTGAATATCTTATAAGAATTATAGGAATAAAAATAGAAGTTTTTAGTTTAAAATTATAAGAAAGAATTGCTATATTTAAAAAACTATTTCATTATTTGGGCAGATGGATATTCTTCCTCTTAAGCAACTCAATAGAACGAAATCATGATTTGTGAACCAAATTTGCAATGTTAATTTCGATCGTAGCATTCGTCTTCAATATTGATTCATCGATTGGTATAGGATCAGGAATTGAATTCTGAAAAAATATTTTCCTCTTTTGAAGATAATCAAAAATTGATATGATAAGAATCAATATGATAAATCATAATTCAGTAGTATGAGGATAAAATAGAATTCGAAAGTATCTGATTTAATGTTAAATGCTGCTTTATTGCAATGCATTCAATTATCATATCATTTGATTAATTAATTAGGGATTTAAAATCATGAAATCACTGTAAAAAGTAGAAAAGAAAAAATGAAAATAGTAACTATACCTTTTTATCTTCAGGTTTTTGAACTTTATTATCCTGAAAATTATTTCTGAATTGAAAGTATTAAAACAATTAAAGAAGCTAACCTGAAAAACTAGAATACTGGAAGATAAAATTAGGAATAGATTATCGGAGGGAAATTAGAAGACCTTAGTAGATTCTTTATTTTTCTTTGACATAGAGCGCTTCATGTAATTACGAGCTTCTTCGATGGCATCATCATTGAGTTTTATAGAACGAGCAAAATCCATATGTGACTTCTTAGAAGGATCAAAAATTGAACGGGAAGTAAATGAAAATGCTTGCGACAGAAGCGCCGGTTCTGTTATCTGAAATTCCAACATTCTTGATATATATATATATATATACAGAGAATGCGATCAAATATCATTGTTAACCTGTTAAGTTGACAATATAATTTTATCCAAAAAAAATTGTCAGGAAATTAATCATTTTTGAAAATCTTCATTTGAAAGAAATTGAACTTTCCAAAAATGTTGCTGTACAGATAACCGAATTTGTTACCTGATCAAAATGTCGCGCTGCCCATTGTTCACTTTTCATTGTCATTGCGTAAATGTCGCGAATTGGTGAGGTGAATGGTGCTGGAACGCTGTGGAAACAAACAACTTGTTGCTGAAAGTAGGATGATGATATTTTGAAATGCCAAAAAATACGTAATAAAACTTTCATTGGAAAAAATTAAGTCTACGACGACTATGATCCTAATATCAATTCCTAATTTTAAACTGCCAAAATTTTAATCGACTACAATTTACTCGTCTCTGATGATTTCTTTTAAAATCATTCTACTTTTTTATATAAAATTTAATCTTTAGACAATGAATTCGATCCCGGCAATTTATAGTTGCATTTTTCAATTATAAGGTCAAATTTGGCATTTATTCATTATTTTTGACCTTTTTTTGTTTTCCACTTATGATACGAAATTTAAATAAGAAATGTTGAAAATAAAAAATTCTGATCTCGGCAATCGATAGTTGTATTCCTCAATTATAAGATCAAATTTGGCATTTATTTATTATTTCTAACCTTTTTTGTTGGACCATAATTAAGTTTGTGTGGAAATGATGATTGATAATTTGTGTAGTAATAGACTAAGTCGTAAAGTGTTGAAAATTGTCGATTGAACAACAAATAACGTCCAATTTGATTGCGACGAATTGTATAAGTCTAAATGATGTTAATTTAGTCAAGTTATTTAGTAATTTTTATCCATTTGTTTAATTAATTAATCGTTTTAATTTTCCTCATAATTTATAATTCAATAATATTCGTATCCGTACATACATATATACTATGCTAATTACTGAAGTAATAATTAACAAATTTGGAAAATGAAATTTCTTCAATTTTTTAAAATTAAATTTAACATTTTATACTTTAATGTAGAACGGTAATGTCGTATGTTCCAAACGATCTGGATCGATTTCCTCCTTTTCCACGCCAATTTTTTTTCCATCTTTATCCTCTTGCTCAACTAATTTCTGTAATTTCATCTTTATTAGCTGGCAGAAAATATTCAACTTTTATTCAAAGAATTTTTGAATTGGAGTTGAAAATTTTATCATTTAAAATAATCTATCGATAAAGATACATGAGGGATCATAGTAGAATAGGCAAACTTTTAATGTAAGATTTGTAACAATCATTGTTTATCGATAATGAATTTATAACCTTTTGCGCCTGATCTTCCATATTAGGTAATTGCAAAATGGAAACTAATCGTTTATTTAAATCATTTAATGCACCTTTTGCTGCTACAATAATTTTTAAGCTTTTTCTACAAATTGAAATCGAAATCAAAATAATTATTATTTTTAATATTATCATAATAATCAGACTAAATTTTAATTCATATTTCAAAAAATAATAATCAAAAAATTTTTTCATCAAAATAATTAGTTTTAAAATTAACCTATATCTACGCTTTCTATAATAACCATAGCCAACATGATGATAATTTAAAAAACTATCATCTGTCATCTTACGTGACAGCCCACATTTATAGCTTACTTTTTCATTATCATTATTTATTCCTATTAGTTTTTTAGAACAAAATTAAATTTATGAATATTTTTGATTGATGATATTTTCAACTTTTAATTCAACTTATAACTTATAATTTTTTAATTTATGATTTAGCAATATAATTATATATTATATACTTTTAACTAACTTATAATTTGATTCGTATAAACTTCTATCATCTCATTCATGATATTATTGCTTTTGCAACACATAACAAGAATGATATATGGTCGATGATCATGAGGATCAATATTGAGCCAAATTGGTGAAAAGATGACAAATAATCCTTGAAGAAAAAGGTTGAAAATTCTCCAATAATTTTTATTATACAACATTTCATTTTTATTAAATTCTTCCTAATAATTTTTGAAATTTCAAAAACGTAGGAAAAACAAAAGCATTTCATTATTTTTAATTAATTACTAATTCTTTTTCCTTTTTTAATTCAAGAAAAAAGTTACGAATAAAATTCACCGATAATTATTTTACCTGGTTTATAAGAGCTACGATCTTCCAGGAAATAATCATAAGCAGTACTAATATCACAGAGTCTCACGATTGAAATTTATCAACAGTCATTTTACCTGGTTTATAAGAGCTACGATCTTCCAGAAGATAATCATAAGCGGTGCTAATATCACAGATACCCAAAAACCATGTTGGTTCAATAAATAATCTTTTATTTTCTAAAAAATTTAATTTTTTAAAACAATTTTATTCAAATAAACAATGCAATCAAAGTAATTAAAAAAATAAGTTAAAAATTTTCACTCAAATAAAAAGCATAATTTAGGTAATAATTAAATTTTAATAAAAAATAATGATAATTTATGAAATGTAAATTATTTTACCATTATAAAAACTTTTTTTAATAAGCCAACAAGATGGTATTAATCCAACATTTGGTTGAAATGATCGATTTATCATCCATCGACCTAATGACCATTGCATTGGAAGTCGTAAAAATGTTCGACCATCTGATGTTATACTATTAATTTCACGAACTCTAAAAGTTTCATTTTCAGCTTATATTAATTGAAGAATAAAAGAAATATAAGGTTGTCATTTAGTTTGTGTGTAAAATTTCATTTTACAAAATATTATTTTTCAATGCTTGAAAATTGATTAATTTTAGGTGTTATATATTTTTTCAGAAATTAAATTTTTTAAAAATGATCACTCTTCGAAATGTCCATTTTAACTAATTTATGAAAAAGCAAAAGTGGTATTTGAAAATCACTGAAATTCTTCACAAAGCACATTGATTTGATCACCAGCTGTACAATTAATATCAAGACATGATGTACCACCGAAATAATCCCAAAGTGCGATATGTGGTACCTAAAAATAGATTCAATAATTTATAAATGAGCAAGATAGTACCGAAATAAACAGAAAGTGCAATATGGTATTTAAGATAATATAAGATAATATTCAATAGGATAATATTCAATAATCTATAAATGAGTAAGATACTATTGAAATAATCCTAAAGTTGTAGTATGTGGTACTTAAGATGATATTGAATAGTCTATAAATGAGTGAGATAACACCGAAATAATCCCAAAGTGCAATATGTAGTATCTAAGATAAAATCAATAATCTATAAATAAGCAAGATACTACCGAAATAATCCCAAAGTGCAACAACATGTGGTATCTAAGAAAAATCAATCATCTATAAATAAGCAAGAAAACAATGAAAATATTTAGGTGTAAGTGAGAAGATTATTATCGTTGTTGCTAATTATCATAAGCCATAATAGTAATTAAGAAAGTATATTATTAAATTGAAAAAAAATTTTGCAAAATTTTAAACTTCCGAATAGCAAAAATCAGTATGATATTTGAATGAATTAAACTTTATCGATTTTTATTTTAGTAAAAAAATTTGGATTTGCAAAATATGTGAATTTTAGAGGAATATTCATATATCTCAAATTTATATTTATCAAATAATATGTAAAAGAAATTTGGAAAAAAAGAAATATTTACCTGAATTGGATTTGCTTTAATTCCTTTAAATTTTTGCCACCATGAAAGTTCTTGTACTTTTAAAGTAAAATTAGCAGCTTTTTCAAATGTTTCAAAAAGTAGATCATCACGTAATGGAAGACCATTTATATCTAAGCCAAATCTATAATTAGTAGTAATAGTAGCACTAATTAATAGTGTCATAATTAATAATATTTTGTTGAATGATCCAAATATATTTAAGCCATTCTAAAATTTTAAATTTCGTCTAATTAAAATTGAAAAAAGTTGCTAAATAATTAAATAATAAATTGAAAAATAAAAGATATCATAATATATTATATCATTCGATTTGCTAAATGAATTTTTGAATTTTATTAATTCAGAAAATTACAAAACAAATATTTCAATTATACAGAACTTATAAAGTCTTTCAGCGAATTCAGCATCATCCATATATAATTCATCTTCATCATGTCCATCACCAATTGCAAATTCAGGTTCATTAGAATATACTGATGAAAAATCTGATGCATCATCTAATTTATCATTGATACGATGTATTGCATTTGATGGAAGCAAAAAAGTATCACCTTCAGCCAGAATATATTCAGCCGTTTTAGACATATTATTTAAGTGATAAAGAAAGATATGGATAACCTTTTTTGATGACAGATTATTTCCTTTATTTACACCTAAAATTATAATAATTAGAAAAAACTAATCTGATGATAATTAAAATTAAAATATATCAATTTGCATTTGAAATATATATTGACATCAAAAATATTTCACCTTTTGGTTACGAACATTTTATGCCTAATTTAAGTAAAACAAAAAAATTAAATTTCTTTTTTTTAAAGAAACAATTTAATGAAAATTTTTATATATTCTAAACTTAAAAGTTATTACAACAAAATATTTCACATTTCAATATTAACTAACCTAAACGAAATATTTCATATTTCAATATTAATTAACCTAAACAAAATATTTCAAATTTCATTATTAATTAACCTAAACGAAATATTTCACATTTCAATATTAATTAACCTAAACAAAATATTTCAAATTTCATTATTAATTAACCTAAACGAAATATTTCATATTTCAATACTAACTAACCTAAACGGCATCAACACTACGAACACATTGATAAGTAACGAAAAATTTATTTCAACCATTTTAATAGTATACAAATCAGGTAAAGAAAATTTACATCTCTATGATACGTACTCTAAAAAAAAATTTGCATATTTTATTTAAATGAATCATTTAGTATTTAGACAATATTAATATTAATACAATCGTTTTGAATAAGAGCCATTGTACTTCACTTAGGAACTTTATAGTGTAACCAAAGTTTAAATGAGAGCTATTGTATTTCCCTTAGGGACTTCAGATAACCAAAGTTTGAGTGAAAACTATCGTACTTCACTTTGGAACTTTAGTATAATCAAAGTTTGAATGACGGCTATTGTACTTTGCTCAGGAACTTTAGTATAACCAAAGTTTGAATGAGAGCTGCTGTACTTCACTTAGGGCAACCAAAGTTTAGATGAGAGCTATTGTACTTCGCTTAGGAACTTTAGTGGAACCAAAGTTTAAATGAGAGCTATTTTACTTCACTTAGGGACTTCAGATAACCAAAGTTTAAATGAGAGCTACTGTACTTCACTTAGGAACTTTAGTGTAACCCGAGTTTAAATGAGAGCTATTGTACTTCACTTAGGGACTTCAGATTACTGAAGTTTTGCAATTTGTATTCGAGAGATCATCGAGCATTTTATGAATAAACCATTTTCTAATTAATCTTTAGAAAAACATTTCACCTATTGTATTACAAACATAAGCGCTAAAATTAAAAAATTAAAATGAAAAAATCCTACGATGATAATAATTTGAACAAATTTAATATTTACAAAAAGTTTCTGCAATAATTGTTTGAAAATTATGGAATTCTGTTTGCCAATTAATTTTCACTAATTTCATCGTTAATTATCATTTCTAATCTTTCATCCTTCCTTCTCTTTTCATCAATAATGCAATATTTCATCATTTCCAGGACTTTCAAACTTCGTTTTTTTCCAATAGTTACCTTTTCTTATTTATTTAATTTATAAAATAATCTTTCCCTCAGTTGTATAATGAATTTTATGAAAAGCATATCTTCAAAATTATTGTATCGGTAAAGATTCGAAATATTTCGTAACGTCCTCATGGAATACGTTCGGAGAAATTTTAAATATGAGATTTTTAAAAGCTTTAATTAAAAATTTTCTTTTATAATTTAATTTACCGTATGATCTGTGACCAGCTTACCGTATGACCAGAATTAAAAGATCCTTTCGCACACCGTAACAATTGAGTCTACAGTACGATCAGCAAAAATATCGATGTTAAATGGCATTTTTTACTTCTTCCAAGTTGAGTTTTTAACATTATTTAAGAATTCAATAATTTAGTTATCCAAATATTTTTGAATAGGAATGATTATGTGGCTTCGTTAACCAATGATTCAAGGCGTCAAAGATTCCTGTCAATATTATTATAATACCAATTCAGGAACTGATTGAACAAGTGCTCGGTTCATTCATCATTTAGATATTTCAATACATCGTAATTTTGGGAATATGTAAATTATGCAGGAGGAAAGAATAAAGCAAATCTAGCAATCTCGACTTCTCCTATGGAAAATTATTGAATAACAACAGAGCAACTCAATATAGCTTACTACTGTATAAAAATTTTTGGAATTATCCTTGATAACGAAAGATGAAAAAACCCATCTTTTATTCCGAATCCCCATCCTCCTCATCCAGGAAAATATTCAAATAATTAGCTCCTTTTTCATGACCTAAAATGTATAGTTTAAAAAAAATGACCTTGGATCACCGGGTATATTGAAATAGAAGGTATCACAAATCAGTGTTCACCAACTGTCGAAATTTATTTCCATCTTTTCAATCAACACGACAACGTCAGATAGGTCCCCTAATTCCTAATGAATTTTACTTTATAATTTATTAAAATTTGAATCTGAAAATGTTTCAGGGTGAAAAGCTGAAATAAAAACCGGACAATGTATGAAATAATTCTAACATTGATTTTGGGGACTTCTCATGCAGAGAGATTTGTTTGTTCAAGCAGAATGGCATATCGAGCTGATATTTGTATCCATAAATAGAGTCATGGGAATAAATCTTAGAAGCGTATGAGTATCACGCTATTATTATTATTATCATCCGTAAGTTTTCAATCTCTAAATTGACAAATCGTCACGCATTAACGAGAAAAGAAATTAGTGGATTTGAAGAAGCAAATAATTAAGAAAAAAACAAAATTTTCCAATAGCTGATAATATCAGTACCATATGACGCATTTACTTATAAAATATTGCTGCTATATCCTTTCCCAAGTTTAATATAATCGGAAAATTCCTATAAATTAATGAAATATAAACAAAGTGAATAAAATTAAATAATAACAAAGAAAGATTCCAAATCATTGCATCAAATAAAGCAGTCAATCAACATCATTAGATGTAGTTGTCGTTATCTTATCATCAAGAATAACATCGAATATAATATGTAAAATAATGTATGTACAAAGTATATTTTGAAGATGACATTTTCTGCACAATAATATTTATGAAAATTGGAATTCATTAAAATTAAAAAACTTGATATTTCAATTCAATCCATTAATTTGCAATACAGAACAAGTGCAGAAAAGACATAAAATAATTAGATAATTTAATCAATATGAACAAAAATTAATACCATTTACAGGAGACTTTATATCAAAATGTAAAAAATTTCAGACAACATTTTGAATAAAGTAGTATGCGATTATTAATTGCGTTCAGAATGGTAATTTAGCACTTCATTAACAATATTTTGTAGAGGTAATAAATATGATGGCAGTTGAAACCTGATCTTATTATTCGAATAAATATATCCCTAAAAATTCGTAATAAAACAGCTTTAGATTTCTACAATAATTTCAAAGAATGTACCAAAATTAAGTAATGACTCCTCTGATGTAATAAGCGAAAGTTAATAATTATTTTTTCCAGTGGAGTCACCACTCCATCGGAAAAAGAAGCTTTGCTAACTACGTCGCAAAGAAAAAACTCCTCTTTGAAATATAAACCACAATGTAATAAATATAAATTTAAATTAACACACACCTGAAATCATATTATTTTTTTTAGCAATTATCATTGATGTGTTAATTTGATAGCAATTATCATTGATGTAACATGATCATTGCGAAGGATACAAAAACAATCTTTACATAAAAACAATACTATGAGCTTGCTATCAACTATGGATAAATATATTTCAATCACCTAGTGTAACACAAAATTTTAAACTTTTATACTAGCCATAGCGAAATTTGTGTGGTCAGACGATGATAATCAAATAAATTGACATTGATGAGTAAAGACATACTGAATCCATTGACCTTGATTAATCATAAATAACAATAATAAATTCATTACAAATATGTACCTACGCAAGATATTTCTCTTCAGATTTCATAGTGACGTTAGCAAGATGAGATAATAATCTAAGACTCTTAAGTAACTAAACAAATGTCCGCTTTTAAAAATCTAGAAGCTCATAAATAACCACTACTCCATCGCAGTAAATTACATCGTTTCACCTTATTTAATTTTTTAGTAGATGGTGCAATACCGCCTGACACTGACATTCGTTCTATATCGCTTTTTCGTCGCAACACAAAATTCAACATTGTTGAAGTAGGATCTGGTGCTACAGCATAATATGGATTACATTTTTCCGGCAAACAAAATTCACCTAAATAAGAAAAAATTTTAAAAGAAAATTTAAATAATAAAACTGAAATGAAAAGAAAAATTTGAATCTAGCTCTGAGTATATTGCCAGTTGTGCAAAAAAAAATGTGAAAATTTTTCGGAAATTGAGGCTCAAATCGATTATTTCTAGCGAATTAATAATATGTGCTACAAAACTTATTCAATAAACTCTCTCATCTTCGTCACTTAGATAATTTAAACAAAATTCTGGTAAAATAAATAGAAGCATAAGGATTCCAGATCTTCAAAAATATCCTCATCCATAAAATTCATAAGCTACTCAAGGCTTACATCCATCGGGTAGAAGCTGTACAAGACAATATTCCGAATGATCACCAGAGATAAGATGCTTTTCTAAAGTTCTTTCAATTAATTCTGGCATCCTATCGCCATTTACGATCTGAAAACAAACTTTTGCAGTTTGATTTCAGAAAAATAAAAAAGCAAACAATAATCTACAAAGCATTGGCATTGTATAGATCATGTAAGTCAGATGGAGATGGAATCATCGTTACATTATAATGATTCCGTAAAACTTATTTGATATATATAACTTATTAATTCTTTATTTTTTAAAAATAATTGAGTTTCCTAAACAAACCTTAACACATTTATAATTAGCAGTGCCTGTATCATTCTTCATTGAATCATCTAAAGCGATTCGGGCAAGATGGAAAGGTGCTGTCTGTTGCAATGAACTGGCCGAAACGCATGATCCTGATGATGTTTCCATTATCTGTAAAGATGAAAATCGAACATGTAATTAAAATTTGCAATGCTTCATTGTGTAAGTATAATAGCAAAACAATTTTTTTTTGTTTTCATTATTATTAATTTTCTTGAAAAAAAGTCTAAACGATTCGAACAATGTTACTACAAACCGATATTTTGCTTAATTCAGCGCATATTTTGAATGCATCGAGAGGAATGTGATAAAGTAAACGCAGAATAGCTGAGATTACCTTATATCTATCATTTACCGAAACGCTTCATATAAGCCTGGCTTGCAAATTCCATTGTGCGCTTTACAAAATTACTAGAGCAGCATATCAGCAGAGCAAATATCAGATAATTCCAATACTACTCAAATGTATCGTCAGTGAAATTGATAGAAACTCACCATTTTACCATAAGAATTCAATGAACTACAAACACTAACATTATTCGAATGATGATTCTTGTCCCAACAACCACTTGTTGACCGCCGATGTGAAAAAGCTGCACTAGGACTAAATTCACTACCTAAAAACCAAAAAGTTTGTTCCTGATAAAATTCACCTTGATAAACTTCGCTTTTTTTATTGCAGTGAAAAAATGCAAGCACTTTCCCTTCACGATAAATCATCCAAAACTAGACTAAGATAAGAATAGAATCTTAATCAAGAAAATCAAAAAAGAATTGAAAAAAAAAGTTGATCATAAGGAAGCACAAAACTAATCACCTTTCCAGAGGACTGTGCTAGCTGGCGTCGGAGGAGCAGTAAATGAACGTGAGGAAATGATATTAAACGGATCACAGATAGTTATTAATGTCTTCTCCGCAAATGGTTTGGTGACACCATCGTACCATAAATCTTCAGTTACAATACCCGAATCATTAGATATTTGCCCGCTATCATTTGGATTCTCGTCTGCATTCATATTTGCTATTAATCGCGATAACGTATTTCTGAAACATAATATATGCAACTTTTCAATTTAAAGCGACGAAATCAATTTATACGGAGAGAAATGAAAAAAAAAACTCCAGATAGTGTTAAGCTTATAAAGACTGTACAGATCAAGTAAGTGATGCAAAATAAGAAACTACAGAAACTGCATTACTTGCAAAACCTCAGATGAACTAGTAACTAAAGCTTATTAGAATTTAGAGGTGAATCTTAATCACTACCAAAATTATTCTGCAGCAAAAAAATTAATGTTTTTTCCTTGATGTTCCTTCCTAAGAATTTATTTATAAATTATAGCAACATTATTCTGTTAAAAAAAACCTTATTCAATAACATAAAAAAATAACTATTTAGTTCGGTATGAAAGATTCAAATAAAATGGAAAAGCCAAAAGAAAATGAAAAAGTGGATGAGAATGATGTGAATAAATAAAAGCAATGGCTAATTTTATCGTAAAAATATCAGCGTTATTAAAGATTTATTGGGATTCGTCATTAGAATTAATATCTTATATTGAATTTTTTGCCGTTTATTTCAGGTGAATACTGATATTTTTTTGTTGTGCTGATTACTCTAAAGCTCAAATATTGAAAATTATTACTGCCATTATAACAGAGGACTTCACTTCACAATTAGTGATTTCTCGAGATCATAATCATCAAATTACCATTATTTCCTTTTAATTACTCAATGTCTCATAATGAATGGGTGTTCTGAAGGGTACTTCGAGAATCTAGAACGGCTCACTTCTCTCCACCACTATTTAAAGAAGTAAATGAAAATCTTACGCTTTTGCTATTTGTGGTTGTCGAAGTGGTTTTGATGAATCCGCTTGATTAGTTGGCAATTCCACTTCTAACGACCTCATGAAACTGGAAAAGATTTATTTCAAATGTTTAGGAGTTCTCACGGATAAATCGATTCATATAAAAAATTTGTTAGGATATATTTGAAAACTGGCAATAAGTAGTACTGGACGATTTGATTTTTTATGCGATAAAATTGCTCTCCGAAATCCTATAGCAAATTGGCACAGAATTTTTGGATTCCGAGATAAATACGAAATAAAAGCAAAAAAATGCAATGGATTCAAAGATGAAAATTTATTGTTTCGGGAATTTCTCCTGAGCACAATTTTTATAATATCTCAAAACTAGCTCTGTCATATTTTAATTAAACCTTTCTTAAAGATGACGAAATTAAAATTTTGGTGGTAAAAACCAAGTTATGGTATGCCAATCCCAAGTTTCAAAATTACAAAAGAAAACTGAAAAAGTATGAAACATAAACATTTTTTTTTAACAAAAACAGTGATTTGAATATTTCTGATAATTATTGGAATCGTTTATCTGCAATAAAGATGAGCAGAGAGGTTTTTTCAATGATTACGTTTACATCGTTACAAGATAAACTACAGTAGTTATTTCTCTAATAAAATTTATTGTGACAAGGAAAATATAAACTGAGTTTTAAACATGCAAGAGGTTGAATGGCTAATACACCTGGAAACCATGGATAATGAAATCTCAGACCCAAGAGTAGCTTTGCATACCAAAACTTGAAATGATGTATCTTAAACAAAAATAACCATTGATTTTCATCCAGTGCCGGAAGAAAACAAAACCATGAGCAGAATGCCATATCCATAGGAATCTTGTAGGCACGACAAGCAGATTGGAAAAGACGAATTTTGGCGATTATTTCGAATTCCTTTCGTCGCTTTTCGAAATTTATCAAGCCTTCTAAAAAACGAAAATGAGACTGGAAAAATGTCAGCCAATAAAGATCATTTTTCAATCAAATACTATATGAATCTGAAAAACAAGCTTGCCCTCAGTGAAATCTGGATTGGCTTGGTCAATCATAGAGAGATCGGTGAGGAAAGTACCCAAATAGGGTACTGTTCCTTGAGATTCAGCTAAATTAACATCACTTTTTGTTCTTCGACAATTCTGAATAAGCTGTGGTCGTCTTAATGGTGATTTCTTTGCTGTACCTTCCTAAAATAAAATTCACTGAAATGTGTGGTATGCAGGAAAATTCTGAAATTTCTGAAATCTAGGTAATTTTATCTAAGGTACATTCGTATATTAAGTTAAGGCTGTTTAAACATTGATGAAAGAATAAACGAACACATAAACCATACTTCTTCCAGAATTTGTCTAGCCCGACGTTCTTCACCATCATCATCTGCATCAAATATTGATGATAATTCGCGAAATTCGGCTAATGATGCACTGAAAAACAATGGATCTGTCCATTTTTTTAGCACCGAACAAATGCAATTTTTTGGACCATGTCAAAGATTTAGTACCTAGGAACTTGCGCCCACGTTGATTTCAGCCTGTGAACCGGTTCGGATTGAAGCGTTGATATAATTGCTTTTAATGACGAAAAATTTTTCAAAGCTCTCAGTTCCTGAAAGAATATTTTGCTGTAAAATAATAAAATGTAATTGGTAGCCAAAATATTGGTTCTACAAGTTTAAAAAGCGATTCTATATTCAGTAGACTGAGAAGATCACTATTAAGAAAACCAATATTAATGTTCAAACAAACCCTCGCGACATCGATCCATTTTGCGATTATTTTCGCTCGAAAATCAGGCCGTGAATCCGGAAGGACTATACTTGTCATCACTTTTTGAACAACTGCATTGAACTGGAAATAAATTAATTATTTTTATACACGAATTTCTTATGACATATTACTAATAAGTTGAATTATTAGGAAATAAACCGAACTGACGAAAACAATCATGTGATGTTACCTCTGAATCAATGAAGGCATATGTGCAATATACCAACAAATGATTAAGTGCAGCATTGAAATCTTGACACTCAGAATTTTGAAAATTCTAATGCTTTAAAATCACAAATGGTCTATATAAAAAATTTTAAAGAATTTAACAGGAGCGTTCATCAATTTATTTAAGGGTTAAGTTTATTAAAAACCAAGGCATGACACTTTCTTGAATAGATTAATGGAACCTGATCAATTGTTGCCCTCACAGTGTACACTGTTTCTGGCCCTCGCTTATTTCTTTTGTTCCACACGCAACCTTGACACTGCTGTGGCAATAGCTCTTTGAACAATTCCTATAAAAAACATTGAATGAAATAAACCATTATTCAGATCATGTGTTTTGCTCTACTAGATTTTTCATAATCATTAAATATAAATAAAAAATATGACATGAAATCATTTGTCCTTCTGGGCAAACCGTTAGCATAAAAGACTAACAGCATCCCAAAACGTGAGTTGCTCAGCAATCTGTACACAATTCTCCCTTCCAATATCGAACATATTAGCCCTCTGTAAACAAGTATCGAAATCTGGTGCGTCATAACCTGTGCTGAAGACATACTGCTCCATTGAAGGTATTTGAGCTACAAAGTGAGAATATCACAAAATCATTAATACTAATGGAAAACTCCGAAATTAAAATGTGCCGTAAAATTCGCTCCAGAACCTCAGTATGATTCTTTTAGTACCAAAAAAGATTTTAGTTGAATTAAAAAAGTATTTTTAAAATCTGTTCCCAGACTAGAAAGTTTCACTTCGTTTACTCAACTTTCCTGCCCGGAAGAGACAAATGAAGTCTAGGAATAGGAAAACAAAATAAACTTGGTATTCGTGGATCTTAATCAACATGCGCACACCTAAATAACGCCCATCCATAACCTGACGCTTATAGGTTTCTCGTAACTGCCGAGCTTTCGTCCTCACATCGGTGATTTTATGAATCCTGCCAAATTCGATCAGTCGCATCAAAGTAGCAAAATCAGCACTTGGCTCATTGAAATCTTCAGGGTACATTTCCAACCAACACATAATTACAGAACGTAGAGAGCTGAAATTCTTTCTTCGCACCAAATATATTTTAGGAATTAAAGCTATTCAATCGTAATTACTCTCGAGTCCTATGTTTTACAGCCTCATAACCAATCACTGCATAATAGTTGCAAGTGATAAGTTAGAGGCTATATCACCATCCAACCTGCAAGCTATAATGTTATCTATTTTTGAATGGCTAGGCGAATCAAACAAAAGATTAATTATAATGGATTGAGTAAAAGTAATTCGTAATTCTTACAGTGAGAAAAATATGTTTCACAAAGCGTGCCCTATAGCTTTTATCTTATAATTTAAAAGAAACCATTGCAAAGTAGCAGTTTTCGCTTTGCCAATTACTAACGAATTCATATCAAGCGACACATAACGTTGAAGTAAAAGTTCGAGTACGTTTGAACATGATGCAAAAGAACGGTAAGTGGCGAAAAAAACATTAAAATGTCTCGAATCCATCAACATATCATCATTTATAAGGCACTCCTGAAAATCAAAAACATTAAATGAACAAAAAAACAACAATTCATTTTGTGAACAACAGTTTAAAGAGATTTAATAAAAATCACAGAGTTAATCTGCTACTTTCACCCTAAAATTTCAAAATTATTACTGATGAGATTTTTTCAAATTCATGTTTGTAAATCAAGAAAAACTCGATTTCAATCAAGATAACTTTTCGATATATTTAATTCTTAAGAGACAACAATATGACTTACAAACTATTGATTTCAGTATAATAACTCAAATACGACTATAAAAAATCAAATACAATGTCGTTCCCACTGCTGGAAGACATTTACCTTCAGAAATTATCCTTCCTCTCTTTATTACAATGTAATAATAGGACAAAAAATTACAACTAATTTTTGTAATGTTCCAGCACGAATGATTCGTTCTCGAATGGTTTCCCAATGCAAGCGATCCGTATTATCCACAGAACAACCATACCTTTTTATATCCAGTACTCGATCATCCTAAAAATTCTATTTGCAATAATGAAAACATAGAAATGCAATGAGATGTAAACATCTTTTTGGTGGCAATTTTTCATTCAAGTTAATTTGAATTCTAACATCGAAATGCATTCCTTTTCTATCCATCACCTAGACATGCTTGATTTTTTAAATGCTCCATCAAAAAATGAGAAAATACCGAAGATTCGACGTTTACTGGTGATACATAGCGTACTTTACGTAGGTATATTGCATAAATCGCATCCTCCAATTTCTCCTCTCCAAAATATTTCGCAGCTGTCATTTCATTCGATCATACACTGACCAAAGTTGATAATCGATTGGAAGAACTCTTAAATAAACTGTTATAAGTCAATAAACAGCAAAATATCTTTAAGAAGCATTATAAAATAAAGAATGATAATTTCAAAGATTCTATACCTTGTTAACCAATGTTCCTCCCTACAATCAATTGATGCAACGATCAGCCATCTAAAAATTAAAAATTGAATAATAAAATTCAATCAGAAAAATAGTTTCTGCATAGTGCACAAACATCCGATACGTAACTATGTATTCACATTATTTTTCGATTTAATTCCGTATAAAAAAAGTCATACATCAATTTCTTCCTAAAACTTAGAAAATTTATACTTTATGAGAAAGATTGTTAATTACCCCAAAACATATGGATCATGAACTCCCGGGATACTTCTCTATCAAATCCAATAATCTTTAACTAAAAGCAAACCATGAATCTCCATAGATCCCATTCAATTTCTTATTATATCAATCTACTGCAAATCTCATCAATCCCTGTTCTCTCCTGTTTTCTAATAATGTTTTGGTTTTCTATACCGTCATAATTACAATACAGGCTATTCTTTTTCAAAGTCTTCCCAAATTTCAATGGTATTTTATTTCTTCTGTCTCTGTTACCTCTCTTGATTATAACACTGCTTTTTAATCTGAATACATCTAACTATCCATCTGTATTCATTCTCTAGAATAACCGTGAATAGGTGTGATATTTCATTTCCTCTCATACCGCGGCGAATCACACCGGGGTTTTGCTTTCTGGATATCTTTAATATATGAGATGAGAATTACACATACTATGAATTCTTTTAGAAAATTGATAAGCACTTCGATGGGAATTTAATGATTATGGTCAATCAGTTGTGAATCACTAACCATTTCAGATCGTTGTTGTGTTAAGTGGAATCTCCCGGTAAAGTGAATAATGAATGGATGATCAGGGATCGAAAGGTTAGTCTTTTCTTCAATTAGTATCTTTTATTAAAAGATTTTGTTTTTTCCGAATATAACGAACGATTTATAAGAAAAGCAAAATGCAAGAGAGTGTGGAATGTTGTAGGAAAGAGAAAGATTTAGATGTGCAACATAATTTCTTTATCTATCATCGATTTCACTTCGCTTTGAATTTACGAGATAATATATAAAAATCTTAAAACATTAAAGTGCCTTGTAGATATTTTGTATTATGAAGATTATTCACTATGAATATTATTAATTAAATAATTAATGGCTATGTTTACGAAAAGTTTCATTTGTTTAATTACTTAAATTGAATGATTATCATTTTTATCATTTAATTTAGCTTGAAATTTTGAAATAGCTAATTCTCTATATTAAATAACTCTTTGTTTATAATGAATTTTGAAAATGTTATATCAAATTATTCACTTTAATCTTTGATGTTCAGGTGAATATAAATAACAACTTCTTGTTAATATTATATTCACCAATAAAAAGTGTCTCCAAATGTTTCGAGTATTATATTACATTACTACCATATATATCTTTATGCGAAATACTTTTAGACTGCTTCTTCAACAAATAATTTCTAAAATATATTCTCACTGATCAACGAGTAAAGGAATTCCCATGAAATGATCGATTCTATTATCGTTGATATCTTTCCTATAATTATCTTATAACGTCAAAAAGTATCAAACTCTCATATTATCCTTCATCAGCTATTCCATGTATCAAAATAATGCTCTCTCAATCAAATCAAAAATGAAAATGTCATAACATTTATTGATGTATCATATACCATACGACGATAGTGATAACGGGAATGATATGATTAAGTAAATAGATCAAAGAAATTTAAGTGAATTTAGATGAAATAAGATGAAACAACTAAATCTCTTAGATCCAATAGACTAATTAAACAGTCTTATCTAATCATAGTTGAGCTTCCCTTCCTTCTCAGTCAAAAAATTGTATATATGAAATATAGATTTATTTTTCTTTTCCTTCATCTACACTAATAAAGTTTCCTCTAATATCAATTGCAAGATCTGTAATTTACAAAGTAAATTAATCAAGCCAGGTTAGATTTCAGTTTCTACAATTTCTAACATTTTACAATTATTTACAATGACAATGTTTTAATTCATTCTTTGATCAAATTTCTTCAAAACAAACGTAAACGAACAGCTTAACGGAAGGATACTTTGTAATCAATAAAAATCCTAAGGTTTAATTTTTAATCAGTTATTAATTAGCACTTTTAATCAAATCTCAATATTTACAACTAACTGATTTTAACATTGTTCTTTGAGATTGATATTTTTGCGACTGCTAAAAAAACTATGATTACTATTGTTTTAAGGAAAGAATTTTATTTTCCAACAAAGATATAGAGCTTTTAACAATTGCATGAGAAATGAGTGAACAGTAATTAATAAAAATTAAATTGGGTTTTCGATTTTTTCTTTAAATCGTAATAGGTTGGTAGGAGAAGATATAGGAAAATTCACAAATAGTATTGACTGAACTGAAATTTTGAATCAAACTTAAATATTGAATATAATGGAAGTTCAAAAAAACGAAGAAGAAAAAGTGTAGAACTTGAAAATTCAAATTCATCAAGCTAATAAAAAATTTTTCAAGAATTTGAAGAGGAAAAAATTTCAGGAAGATACTTGGAATTTCTAAAATCTCGTATTTGAAATTCCTTTTTACTATTTATTCAAATAAACAATATACTTATTTATTATAGAAAGACGAAGACAACCGGAAAAATGAAAAACACTGGGAGAATTCGACATAGATCACTTCCGCATTTAAATTACGGGGAGCACGCCTGTTCCGTAAGATAGATATTCTGGGAAAAATGAAAACCAAATTTTTCGAAGATCTCTCTAATCTCATCTATCTATATTTTACTTTTCTATACTATCAAACAATGATCATATTCCCAAGTTTTCAAAACTACCTCACATTTAGGAATTTTTGATAGTTTAAAAAACGAATCGCAGCAGATTTTAGTTTCCATAAACAATAATTATATAAACAAAAAATAAAAAAAATGAAGAGCTGATGAATTCAAATTGCTAATACTAAAATTTTGGTATAATTATTTAGGCAAATCTTTTATATCATTATTTATAGGAATTTTGAGATCCATCGATAACTAATTGATGTGATATTAGAGAAATTAGAGTAATCAATTTGATTTCTATTCGAAGTAGCTTACTAATCAATTGCAACTATTCTAGCCTATATCAACAATCATATTTTAATAATAATAGCATAGCTCAGTTCAGTGATTCAATGATATCTAAAGTTAAATAGTATCTACTACAAATATATTAAATACCAGCACTTAATTTAATTATTTTCTTCATCGGAAAATTTTATTTCAACTTATCGCGGATACATCTTATCGCGGCAACATTCATTGTAATATATGTGGAATTTTCACATATTTAGTTCAGAAAAAAATACATCCTATTATAATAGAAAGTTACAATCGCTATCAATTTCCTGTTCTCTTCCTTCTTCTTCGATCAATCACTATACTATATCATTAATCTCAAGAACTTGAACCAAAAAATAGATGTTTTGAAGCAGATTCAATTTTTCGCACGTCATCCAAAAGGAAATAATCAGAACTCAACTATTAAATCAGCTAAATAAATTAACGATTTGCATCGTGAGATTGCATATGTGATTCAACTGCCATATAATATGGAGAAAGTGTACCGTGTCAGCTTACTTTCCTATGAAGTTTTATTGATTAATGCAAATAGAGGAAAATCTGGATGGTCCTGAATAACATTGCTGTTCAGCGAGAAGCTCATCGAATTAACTGCAGGCCTTCACCTCGTTAAATTTGCGAAAGATAATTTTGAACAGAAACTTGTTTGATATTGAGAAAACAATATGAAAGTGATGGCAATTACTGGGAATTCACTGTACTGAACCTCAAAGCTATCTCGTCAGGATTGAATTGCATTATCAGTTGAAATTCGAAAGTAATAAAATACCATAGAAATCTATTCTTCTCCAATGATATCCTCCCGGAAACCAAGCGAGCAATGAACAAGTCTTCCCTTAGCACACACAACATATAAAATTGATGAAGTGTCGACAAATGACGGCAACGATACCAGCAAGAGTAACACAATCCAAACATAAATAAATATATATTTATGTGGCCGCATTAGTGAGGCATTTAACAGTAATAAACTAAGCCGCTGTCGCAATGATTCCGTTTGTTCTACCGACTTAATCAGATCAATGCTTTTGCAACAGGACAATTACCAACATAGTTTTTTCGAAGGTAACTCTGACAATAAAATATGTTATAGTTGAATATACTATTTGGAAGTTTCATTGGAGAAAAGCAACTACCTCCAATTCTTCCCAAAATTGGTTCAGCAATATTTCCTGTCAAAGTTACTTGAAAACTAACACGGTATAATTTTTATTTTTTTCAACAGCAAAAACAAATTTCCTATCTAACGACGTCTTAGCTTGTGCGAGAAGACGGATCTGTTCATAATAAAATTTGAATTGACTGATTTACATAAGAACTTTAAATCAATAATAACAATTTACTATTGTAAAGTCAAATAACAACAAAAAAAAAATTAAAATATTTTTTCAGAATTTGTCGAAAGATTTTTTAGCTCCCGATGCTTTCAATACTTTCAACACATTGTATCGTACGGTCTTCGACAATGGACGACATTCACCAACTGTTACAATATCTCCCACTGCTATATCCCTGAAAAAGCTACAAATTTCTTGGAAGGCTGATGCACAAATAGGCAAATGAACTTTCAGAAATATAACTAAAGAACGTAAAAATTTTCATACGATGAAATAAGGCTACATTTACGGCGGAATAGACATGCTGAAAAATATAAAATCGAAATGAACAAATATATCTGACGAAACGCTAGAGTTACACTCGTCTTAGAGCGAACTCAATCGGAGAAAAGAGAAAAAGAAAAGCAAGGAAGTGGAGTTTTAGTGATTGAAAAATTTGTGAATGACAAAAAACCATGAAGTCGTTAACCTGAAGGCTGGTGAGCAATGAACAGACATATTACGATGACGTTTCTCATATCGACGATACTTTTTAATAAAATGCAAATAATCCCGTCGAATTACTATTGTCCTTTGCATCTTCATTTTCACAACAACACCAGTCAATATACGTCCACGAATAGAAACGTTACCGGTAAATGGACACTTTTTGTCAATATACGTCCCGATTATGGCCTGTAATTGAACCAAACTCAAAAAAATATCCGGAAACACATTACATGGATTTTTTTGAATTCTGCCTATAATTTCGATGTTTCCAAAAAGCAAGAAAAGATAACAACAGTCCCAAGCAAAAATTTTTTAAAGAACTTTAAAATATGCCACAAACTTCTTTGAATTCAAGATATAATTTATCGATATAGAAGGCGCTTCAAAGTATCTAACCTAGGCGCTATAAATAACCACAAGTTTATTATTCAAAAACGCAAGTAAGATTGAGTTGAGACAAAGCGAATATACACCAAAAGTGCAATGTTCAAAACTATTGTAATACTCACCTCACGCGGTGTTTTGAACCCTAACCCAACATTTCGAACATAACGTACATCCTTCTTCGCTTTCTTACCAATTCCCAAGGTACGCAATTTATTATTCAAAAACACAGTAGGCTGTTTTTGGAATGCTCTTTCTGTTTGCTCCGCCATCCTTTATGCAACTTTCCAATCTATTCACAGAATCCAAGAACCCTGAAGACATTTTCCATTTTAACGAGAAATCCTACAGTTCAGGTCGCCCAGAAAAAAAACCAGATCATTTGGAAGAACTATCAGAAACAACCATTTCATTTCATGCAGCGCTTTTCATAACGAACAACCGTGAAGACCCACGGTGTCAATCACACAACTACGTTCAAATTTATTCAATATATCTTCAAAGCACTCAGTCACTGCTAAATCAGAAAAAAGAACCAAATTATTCCGATATATTTTGTCCTGAGCTAAACGAGATATTATAAAATGGAAATCATCCAATCTTTGGCGGCACACTTTCTATTACCCAAAATCTTATAGGAAATATTGCTGAACCAATGAACAACCAATCAATAGATGGATCACTCATATGATCTGTCTAATAAACATACACTCTTATTGTGCCACAACTTCATTTTCAGAAACTGAACCAACTTCGAATACACGAAAACGAACTCCCATACCTTCTAATGAACACCCCAATCAAAGAAACCTAAAACGTGACGTAAGCCGTAACGACGCCCATGCAGCCCCGTTAAATCTTGTATGTCGGAGATATAAATGTTTCTTGACCCAATCCTGATACGACCAGGATTTCTACAGTTATGACAGTTTACTGTATATATGTTGGTGATAGCATCAGTAACTTCTATTATAGTGATTTTTAAGACGAATGACTGGTCAATAACAATTCATATAGAATTAATGTCTTCAACAGCAGTTTCAAGTTTTTTAATTATGTCATTAAGGACAAACCAATAAAATCATATTACAAATGCATATGTATATAAATATATAAATATAAATATGAATATATATACATAGGTATATATATATATATCAACTTGAAAAAACTCGTCCTTCACTAGTCTTAAGAGGCCGTTCCAGAATATGACCCACAAAAAGCATCAAAGAAGAAATACCTGAAATAATTGAGAAAAAGCGATGAAACACTATGAAATGCACTCCTTTGAAATTTCGGAACACACTGAAGTATGAATAGTTAAGCTGAAAACAAAAGACTGAGGAGTAACTAACCCATACAACAGAGCATAGAAATAAAACAAGCAAATGGAAAAAGAAGAGCCAAGAACTGTGATGGAAATGCCATTCTGATAATGCAATCCTGCGACATGAAAGGCTAAAATTGTTAATTGACATGTCTCGATCATCACTTTTCTTTTTATAATGTATACAAGTCAATTCGTTTCAAAATATACTGGGGTAAGATCCTACAAATCAATTCATTTCGAGATATACTGCGATAAAATCCTTCTGCTTTTTAGAAAGCAAATCAGCTTTCTACTATCATGAATTGATAAAAAAAATCATGTCTCAACATAATGCATAATTTAGTAATTACTAGAAATCTAGGACCAAATGCTACCAGTGAATTTTATATTTGTAATTACCAGCTTTGCATAATACTAACCATAACATAGATCCAAACAAGAAGATACGGGAAAATTACAGCGGAAAGTGCTAATAAAAAATATCCTGCGCAAAGATCTGCAGCAACCATGAAAGAGTTTCCTTTCCCGTATTTTAGTAATAATCATAAATTCGCAATCTCTTTAAAAATGTTTTTAAACTTCTTTATTTCGTCTCAAAAAATAAACGGAACTGAAAATCATATTATATGGTCAATAAACTGAGTCAATTTCATTGAAATCACTTCGAGTAGCATCTTTTTTCTTTCCGAGATCAAGAAATAAAAAAATCAAGACAAATTTTTAACAATTTAACAATTTTTTGTAATTTAAACAATATGAAAAAATTTAGAACTGTAATCACTATTAACTGCAAAATTTCCACTTAATAAACTGTTAAATTTATTTACAGCACTTTTAAATTTAAACATCTCCTAAAGATGCTGGAATGGTTTTTATGTTTCTTGCCAATTTCATAATATAATTGTGGCCTGAAGAACGGGAATTTTGTAATTAATACATCTAGAGACAGAGTGAACCAGAATTCGTAAATATATTTCAAAAAGACTGACAAGCATCTTGAACTTACTACTGTATATGACATGCACACTATTGTATATGATATATATTTATTCCAGTTTACTCATGACAGTAGAAAGGATTTCAAAGTAGCACTTCGCATCACATCCTATTTGTTCCAAATACTGCATAAATTTGGACGACACAGTAGCATCAGAGGGATAGAAATCCATTAATGATCTATCACAATAAGCAATCCTAAAATTTTTACTATTTGAAATTTCTTAGAGATGATTTGCTCCTTTTCCATCCCCCCGTACAAGAAAAAAATGAATTAATTCATAGTAAGATTTATGATCTTTCTTTTACTGAACGAAGTCGTTTGAAATATTTCTTACAAAGATCATCTACCACAACCCTAAATATTATATCATTCCAATAAAACAAAAGAAGCCAAAATCTATATCACTAATCTCGAAGAGAGAAACTTACAGGCGGAAAATGACAGCAACCGCAAGGTTGCATGTCTTCCTTTCAAGAACAATATTTGTTGCCGATAGTCTAAATGTGGAAATAACATTTAAGGCTTGTTGTCCGCATCCATTTATACCTAGTCTTCCCTCCAAAAGTCGCCAGCTATAAATGAAAACAAAAAAGTTTTAAGAAAATTAAGAAGATATCATCAAATATAAAATAAGCATAGTATTTGATTTCATTCCGCATCATGACCTTCAATTCTACGATTTTAGAAAAAAAAACCTATCTAATATCTAATAGAAAACTTAGAATCTAACTAGACACAAATGTTAACATCCTTGAAACGACCCCTTCCTTCTGTTACAAATCATAGTTCATAGCAGTATGTTCCTAAAACTTTTGTGATTAATACTCTCAACGTTGCTCCTTTTTCTAACATGGAGAAAGAATAATTTGCACAAAACATCTAAAAAAGAAAACAAATGTGGAGTTGACTCACCTTGGCTTTAATAATTCAACTAGTACCGAAATCCGTTGTTTTGCTTGATCGACACTATCAATTGGAGGCAGAAACATATTTCCCTCAATCCTTTCATTAGTGACGTGACCATCTCCACAAAACCGGGACATGATCGATCTTGCTTCAGGAACTATTTCATCTTCACTATTCGATAAATCCATTCTGCGATGATATTGTAAATAACAAATCGTTTCTCGACCACACCACTCTCTTCAAAAATTGAGGAAATGAAATCCAATTACTTTCACTTCTAGTTCGAAACAAAATGGCAAGACATCAGAAAACTCAGATAAGCTAAAAAATTGAACTTATTTTGGCAATATTGAAATTTCATTTGTTAAAAGAGCAGTAACTTACAACAGTGTTTTCTCAAAATCTTCATAGAAATTCTTCGGAATTTTATCACTAAGTTGTGAACTAAGTGGTTTGGCTGCAATCATTTTTGGAGGTCGTTTGAGTTTATTCTGATTATATTTATTCCGTATGCGAGCCAATTTTTCACTTTCAGAAAGTTGTCCATTCTTTTTCCTTTCCTGAAATTCAGATAGGTGCATTGCAAGGTATCTAAATAATATTAATTATCGGCCACCAACTAAGGAGATCTTCTCTATCTTCAGATTCTTCTAACTCAAAGAAATTCAACGAAATGCTTCTATCTCCGTTTTCGTGACTGTCTCATTCATAACCTTTTCAATTGTAGACACGTCTGTACTTTCGTCAGTGCTAGAAAATCCCGGCCTCATTGTAAGGTAAGATCGACAAAAATTGTAAAACTCCTCATCATCTCTTTTTTCTTCATCCGTCTTGATTTCGTCGTCATTATCCTCATCATCAGATTCCACGATGTCACCAATCTGAGCAAAAAATCGAACTACAATTCAGAGGTGAAAACGAGACTTAATCGACAAATTAAAAATAGCACTTCTAGACCTTTAGCAATCTTTATATTTCTTTTTCGACTAATCTTTTTTTCCACTGAAAAAACAGCTGATGAAATAAAGCGTAAAATAATAATGGTGGTGATGCAAAGTCAACTGCTTTTAAAGATTATGAAATCTGAGGTATTAAGCCATGTTCTAAAGTAAATGAATACTTTTGAATCTAAGTGAAGAAAGGAAGGTATAAGGAAAGTAAATACCATTTATGACTATGTTAATAGAAATTAGTAATCAAATAATAACTACAGCCACATATCATGAAGATGAAGTTAAGTTCATACTTTCAAAATTTCAAGTGATGTTATCAGCTGTTGGTCTTCATTGAATTCAAAGTCACAGGTGTTCTGTTGCTGTTGCCTGATATTTGTGGCGTTCAAATCAAATACTTTCACTGACCAAAAAAAACATTTCTTTGAATTACTCCTTTTATTAGCTAATCTAACGAGATCTCCGGCTACTGCGGTTCTTCTTATGAAGGTTTATTTTAAATCAATCAATATTTATTTGACAAGACACTGATTGTGAAATACGACTAGAAACAATCTATTTGCATTGAAGAATGCAAGTAGATTGTTTCAATGCGAATAGACTGTTTCTATAAAATAGTCAAATTATCTTGAATCGTGCATATATAAAACTTAGAGTTACCTCGTTCATTGCCTCTTATCCATAATGGCTCTGTTTCTAGCTGCGCCCTCACTGCAACAGAACGTAAAAAACAGTCTTCGCAACAAAATTTGTCAATTTCAGCAGATCGTTCGAATACCTGAAAGGAAAATTGGATATTACGCTTCACTGAAAAATTCACTGAGATCTGAAAAGAAGCTCTTAATTTTTCCAGTTATATTGTCACCGATGTATGCTTTCTGTGTTATAAATGTTACTGGCTTTTCTTAAATTTTACGGTCATACATTTACTTTCACCATAACATCTATAATTGGATTCCTCCATTCACCAAGTTATTCATCATTGATTATTTATTGATCTACTTATTTTTGTCATATTTTTTGATGAGCAACCGAAGATCCCTTTTAAAATTCCTCTGAATTCTCGTAAAATTAGGATTAAAATTGCGGATAAGTTGTTAAGTGACAATCTCGTATTCAATTTACTCAAGCTTAAGATTAAACTGGGCAAAAAAAACACTTAATGGGATAAAAACTTAAAATAAATGTCTCATGATGAGCTAACGAATGGTAATAGAAATTTTGTCTTAAATGTTATTTTGACTGCAAAAGCAGTAGCATGTTAGAGGATCAAAAACCAACTTGCCTTCTTATTTTTCAAATCGATTCGATACTTTTGCGAATTTTTCACTTCCACCGGATTAGTACAGAGCGGGAAACCGCACATTCGACCAAGGTAACGTTCCTCGATCACTTCCATCCAACTACTTTGATCCAAATTATTCAGCTGCAAATTAACTCCTTCACAAAATAGCACTAAATTGAAATTAGTATAATGAATCTTTGCATAAAGAAATTGACAAGTGTAATTTTGGCAACAAATATAAAAGGTTAAGTACCAATTTCTGCAGTGTTGTTTCAACAACGCAGTCCGACAAAGCTACAATGGTATCGTAAACAGCCTTACGTAATTGCTGCTCCTTGGCCGAACTATCCCCTTCTTTCCCGATTGCTTCCCTTTCCATACGATTCATTAAACCTTATAATGCATACAATACAACACCTTCTCTTTTATCACTGTGTTCCAAACTGCAACACATATTTTCACGTTGCGTCATCTATGTTACAACTGGTTTCATCTTTTTCGACCAAATGAGACACGTATAGACTGCTGTCGCGATATTGTTCTCCACCAGTCGATCTTGTCAGATTGTAGTTCTTAAGCTAGTAGTTTTCAGTAACTGAAGCTAAGGAAATTTCGGATCTTTTTACTAAGTAAAAAAAGACAAATGATCATATCTTAGAAACAAAACTGGAATGAACTCTGATGTTTGTACGTATTGCATTTGCCAGGAAATAAAAAAAATTGTTTAATTATAGTTCTATTATATTATTCTTAACCAAATTAAAGGTAAATTGTATTGGTAACAGGAGGCAAAATGAGATCAGTCAAACATGGAAGAAAAAAAGCTCGCCGACGTATCAATTACAGTAAAAGTTCGGTTATTGCAAAAAAGAAAGCAATGAAAAGACGAAAAGCTATGAATGGGATAACATGGTAACGTGTTTATGATGATAATATCTTCCCCTTCTTTCCATCATATACAAAACGGTGAAGATAATTTTCCTTATTTTGAGAACTGCCTCAATTTTTTGGGTTTTGAACACAACCGTAACTGACTGTGTCAGTTTTTCGTATCAATAAGATTTGATTTTATTCGTACACAGCGCTTCTAGTGTTGTTCATATGTGCTCGACATTGTAATGCTTTTGAATTTTTCTGCTTCTGTTTTTAGTCTCTTAGTCTTACATTAGTCTTTCGCATATTATTTATCTTCGCTTCACAAAACTATTAGATTCTCACCTTTAAAACTTCATTGTTTTTCTTTGGATTTTCGTGCAAATTACAGTAAAGAGATGCGCACAGCTTGGAACAAGAATGCTACAATTAAGCAGAATATGAAAGTAATGGGACTTGCTTACGATTCGAACAAATTGTTTCCTTTGCGTCCAAAAATTGTAATTCTTTCTCTTTCTGAATTTCAAAGGTTTAATTTGCTTTTTCATTGTATGCGGGACATTTGATCTACCATTCAATCTTTACATATTTTTTCCATATATCAAGTCAGGTTGTCCTATTATAGAGTAATCAATGTGAAAAAATGGAAATGGATGATCCGAAACTGCACGGTTCTATTAAATCCCAGATGCTTAAAGCTGTAAGTTACTAGGTCTAAAACTTTTTATTTAACACATATATTGTTTTTGATAATTTCATCGAAGTTTTTGAGGCGAATCCAATCATTAAATCAAGTTCATAGCATAAATTTAGGCGATATATCGGATTTCCAGAGATACTTGTTTGAATTATTCAAGATGTCTTGCGGTTGACCTTAAAGCTAGACCTCTAACCTTAAGTTCTTCGAAATTTGTTTTTATTATCCATTTTTGTAGAAACCAGCCAGTGCTGGGTCGAAAATCAAGAAAGTGATTGCTGCTTTGGAAAAAGAAGCTGAGGAAGAAGAAATTAGGCAGAAAAAAGGACGTGGATATCGTTTACTTGCTCGAGATATTGAATTTTGTGTTTACATGATCGAAAGGCATGGCGAAGATTATGAGGTAAGGAATTTTCAATACCTTAATCTTCAGCAGTTCTGTTATGATTTGTGAAAAGTGAACCACAGAATTTTTCGTATCTTTCAAATTATTCTTGTATATCCGAAATTTTACTGTTTTGAAACTTTAAAAGCGTCTGAGTTGTAATGTTTCAGAAAATGAGTCGCGATGCGAGGAATATCTATCAGGACACACCGAAACAAATACAGCGAAAGATTCGTATCTTCATGCAAAGTCCTGAATATCCAGTATATCAAAAAATTGTGTCACAAATGACATAGCTGTCGGATTAGGTTTTCATCGCTAAATTATTGGATTAAATTCAACTTTTCGAAAATATTCGAAAAGTTAGGTTTGCAAATGGTGTAGCATAATTATAGTAAACATAAAAATATCCATTAATTGAGTTTTGATTTTGCTAATGTGTTTGTTTCCTGATAGCAATTCTATTATCTGTTTCTTGTTGTTATTGAGACTTTACTGACCTGCAACTATTGACATATACAGAAGTTTTGTGATCAAAAGTGGTATAAAGTAATTTGTTTACAATAAACAGTTATTTTATAAGAAAATAAAGGATAGTTGTATCAACTCAAAAAATGTGATTTTGGTAAAAAGTGCTTTTATTCTTTAAGAAAAAGCATAAAATTCGTCAGCTAAACTTAACAAAAAATAAGTTGTTATGTTGATTCATTTTCCTATTCTGAGAATGCTTATCTGCACGAAAAGTATACGTGGTTATCGTTCTGTGGCTAATGAATACTTTATCTGTTGGATGATTTGCAATTAATCCAGGCTGCTTTTCTGCGAGGTTTCACTGCTAACTGGTGACTAATTGAAGCATTCCATTATCTCACATGAAAGCGATATGTTACTGTTGAAAAATTAGGAGATTTGGGTTGTGATAAAAGATGAACTACGAATATGTGGTCACTGTATATTCATTGCTTGGTAGGCACTTGATTTGCTTCGGATGGTAGGGATTATTGCTAGCGATGTAAATATCATGAAGTTGGCTGAGATTCAAATCCAGTGGGTCCAAATAGTCACATTTAGATTCGTCTGATGGCGGGTCTCGATCCACAAAATGTCCATTTTGTTGTTTCGAACGACCGGAAAATATGGAATATGGTGTCTACGCATACAACGATCTGTGTTTTTGGAATACCCGAGAGGTCTGTTATTTTTTATATTCTCCAGTTTTCTATTCAAATTTTTTATTTTTCAGGCCGAACTAATGAGTTCAAAAGATTTAACGTGTTATACTCAATATTTTATTACCTATTAGAAATAAATAAAAAGATTTACTGTCAACTTCGAAATTTCAAACACGAACTATTCTTAAATGACAAAGAAGTATCAGTGGATGACTCATAAGTTAGATAAAAATTTTGTCGACACTTACCAGAAATCCAAGCAGATTTTCTGATCGGTGCTCCATTTCGTTCCGATTCCCTGTCACTAATCTTGTGTAATGGATTTTCAGGAATTGTGATTATTGATGGAGTTGAAATGCGAGCAAATACTGTGCAGCTTTCATCTGAAATATTTCCCTAAGAAAAATCAAACCTTTTTTCTAAAATTTATTGAACCTAATATTTAATTAACATTTAATAATATTTAATCATTTTATAACATTATAACATTTAATTTAATCAGTTTTCATTATTATTTGCTTTTTTTCTACGAAGCGTTTCATAAATTAACACCTAACGATAACTTTAACGTCCGTATCAAAAATTATGGCTATTATAATTATTGGTTGAATATTGTAAAGAAATTTAAATTTGAACAAAATTTTTTTGTCATTCAGAATTTTGCAATATAAAGTTTCAGAAATTAATTGGAAGTAATATCGATCAGTTTTAAAAATAAATTGTTTATTAAGTATGTTAAACGTTGAATATAAAGCTAACTCAAAAATGCAATTTTATATTTTGAATAATTTTCTACACCATTATTTGCATTGTAAAATTAGTCATCTTTTATTTTGAAAGAAGCTTGCACTGATAAGTTGGAATTAATGATAAAAACGCAATACAATACTCCAAATGAATTCCTTTGTTTTCAGCAATCTATTAATCAACAAATGATATCAATTGCGTTGCATTTGACATCGTGGCTAATTTTATAGCTTTCGAATGACTTACACCATTTTATCATAGCAATTAATAAGTACCATTTAATTAGATATCATATTTCTACAATGATTAGTTAGTTCATTGCTGGAAATAAAAGAGTTCATTTGAAGTGTTGTGTCGCATTCTTGTCATTAATTCCGCTTATCAGTAAACTTTTTTCAAATGAATAAAGTACCGATATTATCTTTCATTTGCAATTTTCTGACTAATCATACATTTAAAATCAACTGTAATTGTTTATTATTGCTGTCGATGAAAAGTTTGATGCATTTTAAAAGCGAAAATCTCAATAAGATACGAATCATTGCAATACCGGAAAAAATTAACTGAGAATTTTCCGCGCAAAATTTGAGATCAAATTTTAAAAATAAAACTTTAATTTCAGGATAAGGTAAACACTGATGAAAATTGATTGCCAAAGTTGCATATACCTTTTTTGTTATAATTATATTCACTTGCAAGCTGATGATTCTCATAAATTTAACATATCTTAGATAAAACATACTATAAAATTTTCCCATCAATTGTTTATTTTATTAGCACAGGAAGATTATAATATAATTCAAAATAATTAATTTAATTAATATTATAATTCAAAATAATTAATTTAATTCGATTTCAGCATTTAAAAGTTCTTTATTATTGTTGTGAGGCAAGATAATATAAAATGATAGATTTAAATGAAAAATTTTGCAAAGTATGCAAATTATTATATGCTTGAAAACACATCGAAGAACTAAAAATGTTATCAGACAAAAGTTATGATCACTCTCAAACTGTTATCAGTAATTTCAGTATAATTAAATTAGCTTAAGAGCTATTAAATTAGCTTATTTTATTTTAATAAAAATTGCGCACCAAATGCATTTATCGGTTTGGCGATTTCTGGTCGAACGGTAATTGAATGTTTGGAAGTACGTAAATGTTTTTTTGATAGCTTCAAAATTAAAATATAGCATAAAATCAAAATTGATAGAATTAAAATTGCAGCAAAAAATATAGCAATAATCCACACATAAATCGGCATTCAGTTCTGTTCGATAAATAAAATTATATAGTAAATAAATAAATAATGTAATAAATGTAGTAAATAAATGATGTAGTAAACAAATAAATATTGTAGTAAACAATTAATGCAGTAAACAAGATAACAATGAAATAGTGAAATTCAAACTTTCGTCATTGAAAGCATTAAATTATTCCTTCCGATAATTTAATATATTTTCCTTTTTTTTTCTAATTTTTTCCTGAAATAACAAATCGATATTCTGGAAAATGAAAAACGGAACAGAACATATATTGTCAAATAACAAAATGTTATCAAAGAAAAATACAATCATACGAAAAGGAAAAATATTTCCTCTTCAAACAAAAAGTAAGGTGACAATCATCGAATGGTAGAGGTGGTAGCCGGTCGTTCGTTCGTTACTCATCATTAGCTAAACCAGTTCCGGTTTTCGTTCATTAATAGTGCTAAAGTTGAAAGTGAATAAACCATTATCATTTCTAAGATCTCTCTTTTTTTCACGATGATTCATGTTTTTTGCTTCATGAAAATATATTTGTTTTTAAATGGAACAATACAATATAATATAACATCTAATCAATGCTTATCAAAATATTTGGAGGAAGTAGTTAGTGATTATCATATTAGTATAATATAAATATTTGAGAGATAAAATACAACACTGATATTTTAAAAGTGAACTTTAACCTTTACTCTAAACAAGCTTATAAGTTTTGATAATTTGAAATGAAAAATGGGAATTTTATTTTTTTGAAAGTTTACTAAATATTGTTAAATAAATGAACGGAATTCAAATGATAAGTAATAATAAATAATTCATTGTTGAAATTTCAACAAATTTACAACATATGCTTAAATTCATTTTGTATATTATAGCATCAAAAATTATCTAAAAATATGGTTTAAGATGATTTCACAGGAAAATCCATCCTATAAGAATATTATGCATGCATGCATGCATGCACGCAAAAGCAAAAGATACTTATAAACATGCACTTACGAATATAAGACAGCATAAAATATAAATTCATAAACAAATAGTCATTGATATTGTTAACTGATAATGATAAAGAATTGATATAATAAATGGAATTTTTTCATTTGAGAGCATATTTGATGCTTAACAGAAATTTTGCATTGAGTTTAATTAATAGTGCAAAAATTGTTGAATGTTTAAAAACATAGTAATTATAGCGCAAAAATTTAGTACAGTAAATATAGCAATGGTTTAAATTTATTTCAAATTTTAATTTGTTAAAAATTCAACTTAATGATAATTAAGCATTAGAGAAAAAATGAATATTTCCATGAATTGGTATACTAAATCATTAGTAACAATATATTGAACTCATATCACATTCTCTCTCTCTCCCTCTCTCTCTCTCTCTCTCTCTCTTTCAATTCTCAAAGATGACCTCATCAGAAAAGTTCTCTTTTTTGTAATGAATATATAAGATACTGAGTTTAATGTATTATTACTAATAAAATCTCTCTCTATAATAAAATAAATCCCTCTCTCTCTCTCTCTTTCAATTCTTAAAGACGACCTCTCTCTAAAATAAAATCTCTCTCTGTCAAATTCTCAAAGATGATCTCATGGAAAAAAAATTCTCTTTTAGCAATGATTCATAAAAAGAGATAGTTGCCAATTGAGTTAACGGTAAGTATAAACTTCATTCCTCTCTACTACGCTTAACAAAATTTACCTATTTTAAAATATCTTTTCATCAAATTCAACTTCACAACATTTAAATAAATACAGATTGATGACTCATTACCAGCTCTCTTTTGCTTGTTAATGAAAAATTTTACATATTGCTCAAAAAAAAAAAGTTCAAAATATAAAAAAGAGTCGGAAACTTTTGGTAACTGATAAGTACTGATAAAAGAAAATAAACATATAACTGATAAAATATCACTGATAAAAGTAAGAAAAATAAATAGGAAAGGATAAGAAACTTAAAATAGATATAAATGATACACATACATAATATTAATGAAATGAAGAAAAAGATAGAAATGAAAAAGTGAGTGAAATTGTAAGGAGCGAAAAGGGAAAGAAGAAAAGATGATGAAAAATGTAAATTATTCAAAATGCTCCTTCAATCATTATACAAATGTATTTGAACAGGTTGTTGATTCATTTTTAAATTTCCGTTAAAATTTGAAATATGCATAGGATGGGAAGATATAATTTGAAAGAATGTTGTAAAAGGGAGGAAAAAAAAGTGGTGCGTTGTAGATTGATGTAATTTTTGACAAAGTTTTTATTAATAATAAAAATTTATCATTTATTCATTTAATTTTGAAAATAATTACTTTAAAAAAAAAAGAGCTAAAAAATAGATAGCATAAATTAAAATTTGTTAATGAGAAATAAAGATAAAAAAGATTAACAATTAAAAAAATTAATATGCTATTAAGATTATTTAATTATTAATAATATATATGTATTCAGTACTTCTAAATGATATCTATAAAACTTTACTAACCAGAGCAATTATTATTTCGTTGATCAATTTAAACTAATTGAAATAATTCAACATTAGATTTCACTTTTTGGAATTCGTTCATTTTCTATTAGATTATTTTATAGTTTATAATTTATCAAGTAGAACATATGTACAGACACAAATACACAGTTATATAACACACACACATACACACACACACACACACACACACACATACACGAGTACATATGCTAAATAAAATTAAACTTTTTTGTTAGAGTTGAATTTTGAAAGTGAACGAAAGTAAGCTTATGCATTTTCAACATAATATATTAAATTTGAAATTTAACTCAACCAGATATATTTAACATATTTTGTAATGTATATTTAAGGGAATGGAAGCTTACATTTTCATTTCAAAATTTATGATTTTTTTTTATAGCACAAAATCTTTGCCATATATTTTGAAATTTGAAATTTTGAATGAATAATATATTTACATTAGATGAACAATTTTTTTATTGACAGACTATTTTCACTTCGAAATTGGTAAACAATGGAAGAATATTTGCGTTCCTTCCGTCTCTTCCCAATATAATATATTATAAAGTAAGCTATTACAGTAATTGAAATATAGAATATATTACAAAGTTTCTGTATTATTGAAATGGTAAAAAAAAAAAACCTAGTGATAAAGCAACTGATGAAAATTAACTTTCGGTTAGAATAAATGAAAAGTGAAATTTAGAAAATTTGAATTTTCAAAATATAATATCATGAGGTCAATTTAATTTCGATAGAAGAGAAGAGGTCACTCAAATGGATATTTCTCTTTTTTTTTTTAAAACTTCAAAATAATAAATGAAAGAATGTAAAAACTTTACGGTCCAGAAAATGAAGGAATTATCCAATTCATCCCACATGGCAACCAACAAACGATATGAATTGGGTTTGTCTATCCAACTGACTGCTTGGCTGTCACCTTTCTCATCATCCTCTTCTCAACTATTTGCACTTCAAATTGTATGTTTTTGTGTGTATATATATATGTGTGTGTGTGTGTGTGCCTGTGTGTGCACATCATATGGTGCTATTCGCAGTTATACATTACAAAATTTTGATAAGAAAATTTTCTTCAAAATACAGTCTCGACTTGCTTACCACATGCACTGATTATTTTTTCATTTCGTCAATTAAACATATAAAATTATTTAATGATAAAAATATTGAATAACACTTAAAACTTTATAGATTCGATAGATATGCATAGCAATAGGTGGTATATGTTACTAGACTATTGCGCCCAGCGCTTGAATAATCCAACATGTTTTGCATGTTTAACAATAATAATTTTGTATGTAGAACAATAATGGTTTAATTATATATTCATATAGATTTTTTATCACTGTTAATTTCTTCAACATTATTTCCACTCTGTTCTACGCATTCATCCTCCGGAATGTTTCGAAATTAAATCTAAGAAGTGAAGGAAGTTTTAGCAGTATTTAGTACATTGTTCACATGCTGCTGTCATAAATCATTGATTTATTATCAAAGAAAATATGCATATTTATACAAATTTTTTTTCCGATATACAGTATGATTTCTCTAACATACTGCAAATTTTGTTTAAAGTGCGAATTTTGTTTAAATATTAAAAATTAGTGAAAAAATGTATCGTTTGTAAGTAAGCGATGGAATAAAATTTCCCTTCAAATCAAACAAAATGCATTAATTAGATCTGTTTTCTTCGATGTTTATAATTTTTCACATACTTTGTTAAGAATATCAGGTAGCACTTCCTGTATTCGCAATTTTTTGTAGAATATGGCGTGAAATGATAATTCGTTGTATTTGACTTGTACCTTCGTAAATTTGGTAGATTTTTGCATCACGCATCAATTTTTCCACTGGATATTCCTTACTGAATCCATTACCTACAGAAAACACTTTGCTTCGTGGAATCATTCCTAATTTTTCCTATCTATTCTGAAGAAAAAAAAATTGAATTTCTCGAAATAAACAGATTAAATGAAACCTCCGAAAATTTGTACGGCATTGCTTACAGCAATATTAGCAGTGTCGGCGGCGAAGCATTTAGCTATCGAAGCGTAATAAGCTTGACTGTTGACAGCCATCGCAGCGCAGTATGTGATTAGTCGAGCGAGTTCCAGATTTGCTGCCATGTCCGCCAAAATGAATGATATTCCTTGATTCTAAATAAGTAGCAGAAATTGGGATCAGCAAAGATGAAATTATATAATACTGATTCTTTGTCTATTATTAGTGTTTTTTAGGAATGAAATCTCTCGATTTACTTGATTAAATCTTTAACATAGCATCACCGCCAATGTTCAAAACTTTTAGCAAGAAGTGCTGTTTGAATACCTTAGCAATTGGCGCTCCGAATGCCTCTCTTTCTAATGCATATTTGCATGCTTCATCGAGAGCACGCCATGAGAGTCCAACGGCTGCAGCTGCAACAGCAGGACGTGTCGTGTCAAATGAGCTCATTGCTACTTTGAAACCTGCACCGGGTGTACCGATAACGTTCTGAAAAAATTTCGTTAATTTTTATAATTTTAGTTAAAAAAAATTTCGGATTCTGAAGCATAAACAATTGAGCGATATTCCCAAAAGTTTTAGGTTTTATTTCATTTATTTTCACTTCTATCGGGACTATAACATCCTCGAATAAAATTGATCGCGTATCCGAGCATCGCTGTCCCATATTTTCCTCCTGAAATGGCTAATTCTTAATAATTTCTAAGTAAATTTTACATCCATAACTTAGTATTTACTTGCAAGAATATTTATCTTGTCTCTTTGCAAGACATATGCATAGCAAGTAATTTTACCTTTTTCCCCCTAGTGATTCCTTTAGTATCGCCGTCAACAATAAAAGCAGTGAATGCTTTTCCCGGTTGTGCTTTTGGGTCTGGATCCGTTCTTGCCAGAACAAAGAACCATTTCGCTGGTCCACCACCAGTTATCCAAGCTTTGCTACCATTCAGCACATATGAATCCCCTCAAAATTTGATTCAATGCACTCTTTCTAATTTTTCGAGTAATTCAAAATGCTTTTCGAATCTAACGTTATAAGTCAAATTTTTTCCATCTTTTGTAATAGTGCCTGCTCGTGTGTCACAATTCAAACAATTATTTTTTTTATACAGTTAACAATAAACCTTTTTTTTCTGCCTTCATTTTAATACCTGAAACATCGGAGCCCGCACTCGGTTCCGTAACACAGTAAGCCTAAAAATTTGGCAAACACAAATCTTATGAAGCTGAAAAAGTTCAGAGTTCTAATTTGCACTACTGCAATTTTACTGGCAATGTTATTTTGATTTTTCTTAAAAATTTTGATTTACTTGAACAATCAGGAAAGTTTCTATATCATGACATTTATCAAAGGAATCAGCTATTAGATTCCCATAACGTGTTCCTAAAAAACCCATCTAAATTGAAATTGCCAAATATTTAGATAATTATGCTAAACATTTCGCCCTCTCCCTTCTGTTCCATTGTCTTTCGCCTTCTCGGAAGACTTACTGCAATAATGGGTTCGGCTGTAAGCATTCCTAAATACTTCTTTTTTTGTTCTTCATTTCCAGCTATATTAAGGGGTGCCACAGCTAACGATGGTCCCATGATGCAAAGTTGAATGGCGGAACAGCCGTAAGCTAATGCTTCAACTATCAGAACAGTTTCCAAAGATGTTAATCCTAGTCCACCTGAAAAACAAGATGTTTTGTTGTATTATCATATTTGCTATTGTATATTCTTATGTGAATAACAGAAATAATTATTTGCTTACCATACTTTTTAGGAATTTGTGGATTCATAAGACCTATTCGATGTGCTTCCTTCACAACATCCCATGGAAACTGAAATTGAACTCTGCAAATTATCAAATAAAATAATTCCATCTGTTTAAAATTTTAATTTTTCTGGCAAAAGAATGGAATTCACTCCATACATGAGAAATTCAGGAAAGATACTAAATTTATTGTCAAAACTTTTGAAATCAATTGTTTCACCTCGCCAGTGTTGTCATAATGAGCTGCAACAGGTATTATTTTTTCTTTCGTAAATTTCATTGCAACGTCGCGATATTCACGCTGTATGTCGGATAGTTCTGAAAAAATAAACAGCACATTATGCCTATTGCCTACTTCAGTAGAGCCATTACCTATGACTGAAGTATTAAAAATATCAGAGGCACAAGTAGAATGAATTAAAGGTTAAAGGAGATCCCCAAATAAGTGGTTATTAGATTCACTGTAATGATATGAATAAGGATCAGACCAAATGAAATGAATCGACTTTGAAATTGAACACTGCAGTATTGCAGCTTTTGCAACATGCATCTCGAAAACATCGTAAAACACGCTGAAAATATAAATGCTTCTCTTAAAAACGTCTCTATTGTTTGATTATTAGAATGTTACAGAAAAAAAGAAAAATTGGGAATTATTAAGTTTGCTAACTTTCAAAGTAACTAATTTCTTCAGAGGCTGTATAAATAAAGCAAAAATTTTTTAATAAAAAATCAAAGATCGACAAATTTCGAACATACCTCGGCAAAATGATATGCTTGAAAATGTGGCAAAAAATGGTATAGATATGAAAAATAAAAACATGCTTGACACTTCAAATTAACTATACAAATGAGGATATTGATCATTAGAAATACTTTATCAAATCATTCGCAATCTTCAAATTTTTATAGCATCTATTTGTCTCAACAAAAGTGACAACATTATATATAATATTCTTCAGTCATATACGTCATTGATAGCATTGCAGAACTGATCAAAGGCATTTCAATAAAGTGAGCTTTGGTATCATATGATCAGAACTCCTCACAGCACTGATTAGAAATGATAAATTTTTCAAATTCAGAAATTTTCGTAAGAAAAAATTTTTTTTCCATAAGACCATATTTGGCTTCATTTTGGGAATTCATTGTATTTAACATTGCTTTAACTCCCAAATCATATTTATAATAAAAAGTTCCAAGTCGGTTAACATTATTGCTTTCTATCGTGAAAGCATAGTCGTGGTTCCTGTTTTTCGAATTCGTGCAGTTAATTCCCGAGCGATAATAATCCTTTGGATCTGATTGGTGCCTTCATAAATTTGCAGTATTTTTGCATCACGCATTAACTTCTCCACTGGATATTCCGTATTGAATCCGTTCCCTATAACAATCAAATGATATGAAAAACTTTAACCTTATGCTTCTTATGCCATAAATCTAAATAAATGACAGGAAAGAGAACTGCTACAATTTCTTTTAGTTTAAATTGGTAGTTATGATGATGATTTTATAAATATACCACCAAAAATCTGAACGGCGTTTGATGCGGCAATATTGGCAGTATCTGCAGCAAAACATTTAGCAATGGAAGAATAGTATGAAGCAGTTGACTTTTGCGTCACTTCCCATGCACTTCGATAAGTCATCAGCCGTGAAAGCTCCAAATTTATAGCCATATCAGCCAACATAAATGATATGCCCTAATATCACTGATAATAGACTCATATGTAATAAATAAATAAATGTAAAAAAAAATACACGTTTGAAGATAGTAGTATTGAAAGGCCTCAGAAATAGTATGGGAATGATGGATGATCATGATGATGCAGCTAAAAGAGACTGTTAATTTATGATTTTCTACAAAAGTGCCCTATTAATGGGGAAATACATGCAGGGAAATATTATTGTGATTAAAAAAAATAAGCAGGTTTTTATTTATTGTTCTCATATCATTTACTATACCTGATTGATAGCTATTCGAGCACCGAATGTTTTTCTTTCCAATGCATACTTGCTAGCTTCATCCAGACAGCGAGCCGATAATCCGGTTGCTATTGCCGCCACCAGTGGTCTAAATTACCTTTTCTTTTATTGTATCATTCAATTCTATCACATCTCATAAGAGAAATGTAATCTCAAACAATTTTGATCAGTGTTATTTGATAAATTTTCATCAAAGAAAATTTTCAAAATGAAGTTATCAATAGTTCCATAATCCTGGATCCTTGATTATTAACAGTTCCCTACCTAGTAGTATCAAAAGTCATCATAGCAATCTTAAAACCCTCGCCAGGACTACCAATCATTTGTGACTTTGGCACTTGAACATCTTGAAATGTTATTGCACGTGTATCTGATGCGCGCTGTCCCATGTTTATTTCCTGAAATTACACTAAATTTCAATTCGTCCCTTCGTTTTACCCTACAATTGTTATCATGTACATTTAACGATTTTTTACTTAATTATTATACCAGTTAAAAAGAAAAAGCCTTGCACATAAAAGTACCAAATAATATGAATAAATCTCGTCAATACATTTGTAGCATTCTAGAATATAGAGCAGTAATTATCATAATTGGAACTTATCAAGATTTATGAGTAAGATCATTTAACTGAAATTGTTCAAGCAATAGAAAATTATCAAAATTAACTTTTTTCCAATGCTGATTCCCGGTGTATTAGCATCAACTACAAATGCCGTAAAGGCCTTATTAGAAGGTGTTTTCGGATCTTTATTACTTCGTGTAAGTATGAAAAACCAATTCGCAACTCCACCATTGGTAATCCACATCTTGGATCCATTAATGATATAATCACTACCTTTCTTCTTACAACAAGTCCGTATACCCGCGACATCTGAACCGGCGCATGATTCTGTGACTGCATACGACTGCAATACCACATAGTTAAAAAATCTTAAATCAAAGAAAAAAGTGCTCGATGGGGCCAAAATAAGTCAAACTTAGATGTATTATGAAATAATCAATTGTCTATATATTGTTAGTTGCGAATTTCTAATCACTTTCTATGAGCAACGCTGTTCAATGGTAATGGCTATATTTGCTGGAAATTCGAAATGCTAGAATGAAATCCGGTATGAGAATCAAACAAGAAGTCTTTTGATGAGATCGCTGTGATTATTTTTGGAAACAAACAATAGTTAAAAGTATGCAAAAGAAAACCATAGGTATCACAATTTGAAAAAATTTGCAGTAAAATATGAATAGTTAAAATTAAAAACGAAATTCAACGTTGAAAAAACGCTCACAGCCATTAAAGGCTCATCGATCATTCGTCCTAGATACTTTTTTTTAATTTCACTGCTAGCTGCTAAAATCAACGGCGTTTCAGCGAGGATATTCGTCAACATCGCTGTGCTTATACCTGTGCAACCATATCCGAATCTTTCATGAATTAGAGTATTTGTGACCATATCTAATTCCAAGCCACCTATAACGACAGCTTTTGAAAACAATTTCAGATTTCAAATTCTAAACAATGTTGCGATTGCCCAATATACCATATTGCTTACTGGTAATTTCAGGTAAATTCCATTAACTGAAGTAGCCAAAAGCATTTTCTTAGGCAACATTTTATGTCAGCTGAATAAGTTAGACAAGTTGCAACTAAAGTAATTAAATCAGTAAGTAATATAGATAGAATTAGCTTAATTTAATAAAATAAATTAAAACTGAAATAATTGCCGTAATTTCTAGGGATGGTTGTATTCATGAATCCATTAGCATGAGCTCTTTTAAGCACATCCCATGGAAATTCACCGCTCTTGTCGTAATTAGCTTCTACTGGTATCACTTCATCAGCCACAAATTTACGTGCAGCTTCATTTAATTGCTGCTGGCTATCCGTAAAGCCTTGAAAATTGAAATTATTAAGCAAAATTCATCAAATCACACAATGATTATTAATCAATGCTATCTTTAAACAAAAGAAAAAACAAATCCCTCCTCAAATTATAACTACCGAAACTGAAATTTGCAGAAGTAGAACGATGAAGACGGAATAAATTTAATAACAAATTACAGGTTGAAGAATTGTTTGCAATCATTTTTTTTTATACCTGAAATGATATAATTCAAGTTAATTAACATTTTCACGAAATTTAGGATTCAAGTTTTCATTTCTAAATTTGTCACCGATACACTGTTAGTATTCACTTCACAAGGATTATTAAACTCTGGCTGTTTGATTAAAACCATTATTGGTGTATAAGTAAGTTTTATGTGCTTTGAAAGAAACAAAAGAATAGTAAAATGTTATCTCACTATAAACTACATGATTATTTTGTATGATTTTCATCGAAGTATACTTTTCCATATATAATATTAGGCGATAATTCGTGTTTCTTATTATATCATAAATACAAATAAATTAGACGCTCAGATGTCATGAAAGTATAGCCATTTGCTCAGTACAACTATGAATTGTATTATGAATATGCAGTAATCAACCATATAATACCAAACATTTGAAAAAGAAAAGCAACAAATTCTACTCTATTCTTAATTATCTCATTAATATAAAACTTAAATATCGTTGGTGACAATTGGGAAAGAGCAGAATAAATGAATAAGGGAATTGAATTTCAAAATATGACCGATTTAAAAAATATTCTTTTTTTTTAAAAGAATCCTTATTCAACACTAAATTGATAATATCACGACAACAATCCTAAAGGGAAAACGGTAAACTTCGGACTTTGGACTTTATCATTATTAGTTTAATATCTGTTACGAGAATTCACAACATTGCTCGCCCTCGTGCTATTTTAATTTCTTTTCAAATCACTTTTCTAAAAAAACGAGAACTTCCATGTATACAATATACGTATCGAACGAACAATAAATCAAAGAAACGAAAAAATAATCGAAGAGAAAAAAGATTTGAAATTTTTAAAAATAAAGGAGACTAAATTAAAACTGAATTTAAGCCAACAGTGATCATATTGATTGAAAAATGGATCTTTACAGCTGATTCGAATATCTTTTAACGGAAGATCATTTATTAAATATGTTACGATCCATAATATAATCATCGAATTTCCAAATGTCTAACATGTGATATTAAGAATATCATTTCATTGAAATGACTTGAAATAATGTTATGGCATTCCGTGGATATAACCTAAAATGAGGACATGATATTTAATAAACATAGCTTGAAATGAGAACACAACAGCTGATGTACGTTTTCTAAAATGAGGACATGACATTCGATGGACACAACACCGTTCAGTTAAACTAGCGCAACAACTTCAAAATGAAATGTCATTTAAGATCCTGCGAGGAAAGCGTGATTACTGTATGCGTTGTTCTTGAATTATTCAGATTTGCGGTGATTGTAGTGTGTTAATTGAATGGGTAATTCGAGGTCCAATAATGGCCCTCCTATCATCGCCCGTTGTTGCTCTCCGGCCTATTGTGTTCAAGTTGTTGGCAGTAGGCACATTCTTCTTGGTGGCGGTGGTGGAGCGTCAAAAACTGGAGTACCGAATAACATTCAGGTTTGTTCCTTTCCGCGTCCTTTTACTCCATTTCAGTCCTTTCTCACAATCTAATTGAATTATTCCCATAGAATACATTAAGCTTGTTCGACAAGTAATGATATTGTGAAACGAAAAAGATTAATGCACATCTGCTATAATGCTGGTTTTCATCGTTGTCATTGCTACTTGTCGTGTTATTTTTATTACTGATATTGTTACCATGTTTTTTTAAACTAAATTTTAACGCTTATGCTTTTTCTCTTGTTCCCTTTCCTTTTCCTTTGCATTTTATGAAGACGAATGGACATGCGATAAAGAGAAGAGAGAATTCTCGAGTAGATTCAGAATTCATGTGGGAATGTTTGTAGCAACTAGGTATGTAGTTAGTTTTTAGTTTCAACAGACTTTATCAAGCAATATTAAAACGATAAAAGTAGTTTTATCCATTGCTAAAAGAGAAAATAATCACCCGATGTCGGAGCTAGTAGTTTATTTGGAGTGATTCTACCGAAAGGTTTTGCATGAGGCAGGGGCAAAAAAAGGTTATTTCTTAGAATGTTAAAATTACGATTATTTGTCGGAAATGAATTTACAGAGGAGAGTCGTATGTGGTGAACTCATACAGATTAATTCTCATACTAAGTATTTCTGGAAGGATCTAAAGTTAGTTAAGGATTTCAGTTTTCTTACTTGTGGTGCAAAATCGCTTTTTAAGTTTAGAACTCATCGTCTGTGGTATGAGTAAATGGATGTTAAAGAAATGATAGGAATGATGTGGAAAAGCGGTACTTTTTACAGACCTTGCTGCTTTCGTTCAACCCCGAATCATCGACAGTTGCAGCGGAAAATGTACCAAGGGTAAGTGGACAGCTGGCGTTGGTAACGGAGGTTACTAATTCATTGGTAACCGATCCTTATGCAACGATGAATATGGACTGTGTATTATTGGGAGCTTCAGGACAGGGTAAATATCTTCTGGCTGCTGGGCATGATGAGGTCAGTAGCTAATTATAATTTCGAAGATTTAAGTGGAGATAATGAAATTCGGAAACTACATTCACTTATTTCATTTAATATGCTTTAAAAGAGGGTAGCTGAAGAATGCTTTATTGTTTCTGTGAGGAGTAGTAGTAAAAGTTTAGTAACATGCAAAAGCAGTAATGCGTTTTTACAGTTGCTAGCGTGCACACAGAGTTTTTTTGATGCTTGCATGTTATCAGCGGTACATTTTTATTTTAAATTGTAAAATACTAGTCTAAAAAATCTAAGAACTATAGAACAACAGTAATTTACATTGATACAAAAGAAAAAACAGACATTTTTGTATCAATGTAAATTACTGTTGTTCTATGTTCCTAGATTTTTTAGACTAGTATTTTACAATTTCAAGAAATTTCAATCGTTTTCCTTTTCCCATATAAAGTGTCGAAGTGGGCACCTTTTAATAAGTACGTCTAAAATTTTAATCCGATTTCAGTATTGTGATTTGTACGAATCTAAGGGATTTTCATTATTAAAAGCAAAGGAGAACGAGCAACCACGATTGGCATTAAGTTTTGAGAAAATATCTCGGATAGTTTCAGATGAAAAATCGAGTAACGCTTATCAGGTGATTTTTCAATCAGAAATAAGGGCAACCAAATATTTTCTTATATAAGAGAAAAATTAATTAAATTATTTTTTTTAGACTTTAAAAAATGGAATGGATTTTTTTGTAGAAAACTGTTCGATTCGATCGGTGCGTTGAAGGGGAACCTCAGAGGTTATATACAGGCGGCGCAGATGGGTGTATACGCATTTGGGATGTAGAAAAATTAATACAAGTAAATTTCCGGTCTAATTTTTTCTGGATATTTATGGTTTTTAGTTTACATCTATTAAAACTATAGAGCTTTATTCGATTATTTAAAAAGGCTGTTATACTTGGCAATTTTTTTTGTATTATAGAGTTCTATCTCCAAGCACACTCCGTTGATAAAAATTAAAGCTCATCAAGGGGATGTGGATGACTTGGACATTTCGCCAAATGGAAAATTGTGCATCAGTGTGGGACATGATGCCACTGTATATATTTGGAATACAACAAACGGAGAAAAAATTTGCAGCTTACCAGTGCCAAGAGAAATTGGTGATGGATTTAAGGTAAGCGGTTTGTGGATTTTCTTAAAAAATTCAATGAGGTTCGAAAAAAACAACAAATATGAATAGCTTGGATATCTATGAGAAGTAATTATGGGAAACTTGAAGGAATTTTTCACTTCAAATATTCATTTTAAAATTAGTGAACTTCCCTTGCTGAAAAAAGACTCAGGTCCGGTCAGTGCGGTTTACGATTCTTGGTTCTAAGAATGCAATATTTTTGGCAACTTACAATCAAATTCGACTTACAAAGAAAGCTGTATCACATGTTGTGCTATGGGCATTCAATAATGAACGAAATTTCTGTCGGCCAATACTTGTTCGAGAAGCATGTAGAGAGGTGTTTAATCTTTTTTTAATTCGTCTAGCTCTTGTTTTATTATCGGCTCTCAAAAGTATTGCCGATTATTTCCAGAAAGGAACGCTGAGATGAAAATCGTTTAATTCTCATCTTAGCGTTTGTGTACGTTCCTTTCTGGAAATAATCGGCAATATTGAAATAATTCTTAACATTCCAATCATCCATATGCAGCTGCCAACTGTGGAATAATATAAAAATAATGATGTTTTAAATTTAATCATTATCAATTGGATGATTTTGAAGAGTTTGACGTACAGTTAGCTCACGCTAAAACTGTTGCAGACAATATCAGCTCTAGCTGTTAGCGAGTGTGGTAATTTCTTTGCCATCGGGACAATGGATGGAAGTGTAGGTATATATGATACACATGAATTGAAACTACTACATTTTGCTCAGAAAACACATGGAATTTTCGTTACAGGTAGCTGGTTTTATTTCAGTGAGTTGCAACAAGCGATTAAATTAGGTCTAGTTATCTCGATGAGTTTTATGAACCAAATTTTTAAAGGTCTTATTGATTAACGTTACTGTTCCTTTTCACAGCAAATGAAAAATTAATAGAAAGTAATAATCTATTTTGTTTTCTTTACTGTGAAACACTGCATACGCTTGGATTGTTTGTAATACAGAATCTTTTGTGAACGTCCTTCCTGCATTGATCAGATTTCTCTTTTCCTGTCTTGAATCTTGATTTCGACAACTATTTTTTCAGCAGTAGAATTTCTTCCTAAAAGGACACATGATTTTGGTCCACTTAATGGTGAAAACGTACGACAGCGTCCTCATTATCCGGGAGTAGCATCCGAATATCGTGCAGCGGTAATTTCGCTAAGCGCGGACCAAACACTTCAATTTCATGCTGTTCCTTTTTTGAAATCAGCTTCATTTACTTATTTCTTATGTAAACTTTCACTTTTGGCCTTCTTTTTATATTATACTGTTTGGTATCTATGCGACAGGCCGAAAAAGTTGAACTTAGCTTAGGTGATTAGGATTCACTGATAAAATAGTAGCCTATACTTTCCGCTGGACGTGAAGCAGGGCTCGGAAGAGCCGAGTGAAGTGGAGTAAGGTAAGAAAAAGAAATAATTTTAATTTACTCATTTCATCTTTGTGCGGTACTTTGTCGGAGGCTGAGATGTACCGAGCAACTTAGTTTTTGAGATTGTCACAAATGTACTACTAGAAGTGATATATGTGTATCTCAATTCCATTTGAGTATAACTGTTGTTTTTCTGTTTATTCAAAGACTATTTTTTCCGATGTCAATTTTTATGTTCTTTATCCTGATGTTAAAAATGAAGGTTGCATTACTTTTTTGTATTATTCCAGAATGTCATCTTCATTGGAAGATTTCAAATATTTTGCGACTGAGCTAGTCTGAGATTTTTGTTTAATATTGGTTTTCTTTACCTACCCTTAATAGTTTATAGCACCTTTTACTCTGGTTCCTCATTTACTTTGAATCGATTAAAGAAGTTCAGTAATGTCCGAAGCAATCATTCGTGAAAGTGATAATGGAAGTGATGCCACTCTTACTAAAGGTTAATTTTTATTCTCCCAAAAAGTAATAAAGTTTTTTTACTTGATAATTATTTTGGGCAGCTATGGGACCAACTTCGCCGGAAAGTTGCACATTTTTATCAAGATACTAACGCAAAAATCCTTTCTGAATGTTAGAAGGCTTAAGATCCATTTGCAATGTTTGGAGCAAATTTGCTATTGTGCTTATAAAATTTTGTTCATGTTATGATTTTATGGGGATGTGAGAGGCAGCAGTTGAATAAAGTCAGAGCATCATAAGTCATGTAAACCGTCAAGCAAGTTGAGACCTTAGTAACTGAATGGCAAAGACTGAGTAGTCATAAACATTTAAAACCTTGTTAGTAAGTGAATCGTACGATAAGATCAATATCGCGATTTTTTGTGGCTGGGATATAGCATAATGATTCCATCATTGTAGCGGTTTAAATATTCCCAACATTTATCAGCATAGCCCGGTGAAAATATTCCCAATTTTATTGCTTGAACTTAGATTATTATTCGTTTGCAACAATATATGTTCAGGGAAAATGGTAGAAGTGAAAGGATACGAGACACCACGCCGCGCTTTGGGTGATTTGAAAAATGTATTCGCAACACCAGTTAGCACTGCCATTAAACGAAGAATTCCAGAGAAGTCACAATCGTCATTCGATGTATATCATGATAAAGAAACTAATAAAGATGTTAGTTGAGGAATTTATTTGCGACTGCATAATTTTTGCATTTTTTATGACCTTCAATTAATATTAAATTTGTCATTAAATTTATCATAAGACATAGGGAAGCCTAAGACACTACATTGTGCAGTGGGAAATAAGTTCAGCATCATTTCTTGATCGAGACTCGAATTGAAGATTTGGAACTCATCGATCTCAGTGCAGGACAGAAAGATATTCATTAATTTAGCAAAATGGAACTTTAAAGTGTATCAGTTTTTGAAAAATACATGAAATTTCCTTCAATGTGTTATATAGTTGCAAAGACAACTTATCGATTTCTTTTAAAATTCATACTGAATCCATATTCATTTAAGGACAGGGATGTAGTTTCTGCTCCGGAAACTGAAGATTTCAAACCAGTACAAGAAAGTGACGATACTATCGAAAAGTTCAATTTTGAAGAACACGCAGGTAAATGCTAAAAGAAGTTTCTGTTTTCTTTTAAATTTTGTTTGAAAATAACATGATTTAATAGATAAGACAAAAATATTTTATTTTTTCCAGTAAATGTTTTGAAATAAAGATGAGACACCGTTGAAATGAAAATGATGAGTATTTCTTGCTTTTTAATTCAATCCTCTTTATTAGTCGTTTTATAAGTGTCATAATCTTCATTATCTACTTTTCTAGAGACATACGAAGAGATATTTCCTAAACCAGAACAAAGGATTGACGTAGCTGATTTATTGCATAACGTTCAAACTGATGATCGCTTCTTGCGAAGCCTTTTCAGCGAATTGTTGGATGACGATAGTCTCAAATTATTGAATGAAAGTAAATTACGTGTATTATTTGCTACTACTTATCTAATGTTTGAGTTTTTAGATTGTCGATTTCTATGATTCGAAATTCAAATTTAAAAGTGCGTTAAATTTTAGAAAACCCGATGACAAATGGTGATTGTGACAAAGTGCTTACCGAAATTCTTGGTGGTGAAATGTGCAAGCAATAATTCGATTGTTGCCTTTATTTTGAGTGATCTCGCTATTTTGAGGTTTATATTAATCGCCGGTTTTTGAATTGTTCTGCTGAATTTAATCTAATTTTTGTAGATAATCCTCTTGCTTGATGCTTTTAAAATAATACCCGATTTAGATCTTCGGTTTGTAAGCATTAAAGATGAGAGGATTAGAACTTAGCAGCTTCTTATATTGATATTTTTCAAAGCACTATTCCTCACAAGCGTTGGAAAAAGACGAAAACTGAAGTATTTCGAAAGATTCACGATGAATTTACGTAGAAAATATAAGAGTTTTTCTACTTATTGTCGTTTAATTTTAAAAAACTTTTCTCGCAACAGCTTCATTATAAATTCCTTTTTATGCTTTCGAATTTTACATATTCTCATTTTATTCCATTTGTTTTTTGTACAAACATTGCTCATTTCTATAGAAATAAGCTTTTTTATATAAAATTTATTTTGAAAGCTTCGAACAAAAATATTGAATTGATGGAACATAGCCTAATTAAGCTATCAATAGTGTTGCTACTATTCTAATACTATTAAAAAGTGAATCTTTCTTTGACCAATAATACAATAAAAAAACATAGGATTGAAGATCAGGCAATAATACTACTTTTTATACATTATGTTTCGTAATATTAGTGATTGTTTATTTTTAACCTTTATAATATTATATGCATAAGGTGCGTGCAAAATATGAAATTGGAAATGTAAGTTCAAATACGTCCAGTTATATGAAGATATAAAATTGACGGGACTGATAAAACTGAAATGATCTGTTGATATCTAATCAAAATTTCTTAATTCCAAATTTCACAGAATTAACACTTCCATCGATTTACTACACTGTTTATTTTATAGTATTTATCTAGTATATAGATTTCAATATATTTTTATAGTATAAAACATATAGATTTCAATATGTCAACTTCTGAACTACATATCAGATAATTGAAAAATGGAATCTAAAAATTTGTTTAATATATGATTAGAGGTGGTATATAGCGATATTCGCTATTCCTTAAATTAGTTTATTTCATTAACAATATGTCTGCTCATTTATTCTCTTCCAATTATTGCCAGAGCATCGGTTGTTTTTTTTTTCATTTTTATTTTCTTATATTGATTTAAATTCTAAACGGCTAAATTTAATGTTTAATTTTAGCTCTTTTATGAGGAAATAGAGAAAATATGAAATGAGCTATGAATTTTATTGCTTTTGTTTTAAATAACATGATAGAGTTGTTGATAATATTTCGTTTATTTTCAGTTTAATTATATTTTACAATAACAATTTCGACCTCTAACAGATAGATGCATTTTATTTCAAATACAATATTCAACTTCTTTTATTATACTTTTATAAATTAACTTCTTGTATTGTTTCGATATTTAGAAAGCTTTTAATTAATCATTAGTTGTTTATTATATTATCAAATTTTAACAAATATATTTTCTCCTGAATTTTATCATCAAATTTTGATAAATTTATCTTCTCCTAAATTATAATAACTTTGCAAAAAGCATATATATATAT